TTGCTTCACTCTTTCATATTGTTACGGTCCAAGTAATAGGATTTATGAATGAAGACTAATGCTTCTATATATTGTCCATAAAGGACATAAAGTTGACTTTTCTCAAGTCATTGGAAAGTATGTGTGACTTTATGATGTGACTGATGGGTTCACGTTAGCATTTTAGTGATCACCTTTTGTTAAGATTTGTTTATTTATTGGTGTTGGGCTGCCACATTTGGTGGTTCCTAGGGCATCATGCAGTGCTGGGGCTCGAACCCAGGGCTCCAGACTGCACTCAGCCTTTCGAGTGCTCTCCTTGTCCCGCAAATGTGATTTTTTTTTTTTATGACTGGTGATTGCACGTTCCCAAGTTCTTTACTGCTGAAGAGCAAGGACATGGGGGAAGTCTTGGCTCAGGTCTTCCTTACCTTTGGATCAGCCACCCAAGGTCAGCCAGGGGCACGCCCCGATGCCTGGTGGCTCTTTTTGGGTCCTTGGCCTCCCACTGGGCAGGGAGCTGGCACCTGGCTGTACGGGTGCTTCTGAGGCCATGCTGTGACCAGACCCAGATGGCTGTGCCAGCCCCTTGTTGGTGCTAGCCCTTCTGTGCTGCAGGGGCTGCAGGAGGATAGCACCCCTGGGCCCCTGTCTTGACCAGTGAGCGGTCTTTGGGAATTCTGACAGCAGGATGGTAGTGCCAGGCATGCCTGTGTCTCTCTGCCCGCAGTGCTCAACTCTGGCCTGCTTGGTGGTGCTAGCATTCCCCATTTGCCTGGCGAGATGTGGTGTCTTACTCTGTTGAGTTTGAGCGGCCCTGTCTGCTCTCCTGCCAGGGTGCACCTGCTCCCTGTGAGCTCCCGTCACCACAGTGTCCCCGCCTGTGCCCTTTATCAGAGGAGGTGTTTCTCAGTTTTCTGCAGTGTACAGGTTCGAGGGCCCACTTCCTTCTAGTCTGTGAGCAGTAAGTGTGTTCCCCCATGTCTTTCCTGACTTTGCTTGTCACGTACTTTTTTTTTTTTAAATAAAACTTAATTTTGATGTACACATTGGCATCATTTTAAAATGAGAGTTTACAGACAGATGTTTCTTATACACAGGGTTGGAAAAGCTGTGTGTAGCCTGTTCTGACATTGCAGAAGGCACAGGTCAGGTTTGGTCATGGGCAGCTTCGGTACTCTGCTGGGACGCTGGAACTAATCTGGTGTGTGTGTGTGTGTGTGTGTGTGTGTGTGTGTGTGTGAATATGAGTGTGAGTTTGTATAAGTTTGTGCCAATGTGAGTGTCTGAGTGGATGAGTGTGTGTATGTGTGTGAATGTACTTGTGTGTGTGTGCCTGTGTGTAGGTAGAACCCTTCAGTCTGTCCATGAAGGAAGTGCTTTCCAGAAAGTAGCTGGCTTTATCAGGGGCTTCGTCTGGCTTTCGCTTAACTGTTAGGGGTGGTTGGTGAGTTGTGGCTGTGGGTAGTCAGCATATAGGCACCACGTTACTGACCGCAGGTCAGTTGGAGGTGAGTGCTTCTGGAAGCGCGTAGGGGTCAGTGGGAGATAGATGGACCTGCAGGTCCCCTCCGCACGTGGCCTCAGCTGAGATCCCTGCCTTAAGTATTGGAGCATTGCACGTTGCGGAGGTCATGGCCACGGTAAAGGAACCCAGGGCTTCCCGGAGAATAATTGGAACTGAGAGTGCAAATCTAAATGGCAGTGAGAACCCACCATCAGCTCGTGCAAATGGTTTGCATGGAAAAGTCCAGAAGCTGTAGGTACTGGCAGGTATTCATTCAGTGCTTGGGGCACTGTTGCCTGGTGCTGCCTCTTTGTGGAAATATTTTGGAGACATCTCGAAAAAATAAGAATGGAGGTTCCATTGGACCCTGCACTTCCCCAGCTGCGCCTCTACCTGAGGGACATAAAACACTGATCTTGAAGGACGCAAGCACACACGCGTTCATTATTGCAGTACTTCCAGGAGCAAGATCTGGAAACACCCTGTGCCAACTGAAGAGGCGCAGATAAAGCCTGGGTGTGTGCATAGGGGCCGTGACTCAGCGGGCGGAGAAGCTGAATCCTGCCATTGGCTGTAGCCTGCTGGAATTGACGGAAGTCATGTGAAGAGAAGTGTGTCAGAAAGAGAAAGACAAACACCAGATGACCTCGCTCAGAGGGGAGATTAAAGCCGCCCGGCAAGGACTGGATGGCCACCAGGGGAAATAGCCCTGAGAGACCTCTGTGGGGCTGTGATCGGAGGGAGCTGGGCTGCAGCTGGGGCGGGGCATTGATGTGGAGCCATCCTGGCACCAGGATGGAGTAATAGCACACACATATGAAGGGAAGATTCTTGGGGCCTGGGGGCAGGGTGGCAGGGGCTTAGAGCTCCTGGCTGCAAGTTCAAGTCCCTGAGCATCAGGTGTAAAAACCACCGCAAGGGTTGGGGCACCACCATGCATGCCTGGGAGCTGCCGGACAGCACAGGGGCCACTGATGTGCAGCCAGGCATGTGCTCCTCTTTGTTACCGTAGCAGCGTCACTGACCACAGTGAAGGGGCGCTGGTGTGACCCTGGGCTGGTGGGGAGGCCCTGAGCAACAGCGGCTGCATGAGGGGTGGCGAGGACAGGACAGTTGTGCGGCCACACCCGGTGGTGCTCAGGGCTTACTCCTGGCTGCACTTTGGGATCACTCCTGGTGGTGCCGGGAGACCGTATGGGATGCTGGGGATTGAACATGGGTCAGCTAAGTGCAAAGCAAGAGCTTTACCCACTGTACTATCTCTTCAGCCCCCTCAACTTTTTATTTGTTCTTTTTGAAAAAAGAAAAAGAAGGGAGAGGTGATTTGGAGCCACTCCTTTCCTGGAGTGGTCTGCGCTGCTGCACGTCCACTGCAGCCCTTGTGGCGAGTGTGCATGTAAGTCTGTGTGTCTGTGTTTGTGAGTGTGTGTGCACACGTGTGTCTGTGTGCATCCAGGTCTGTGAATGTGCCTGAGATGGCTACTGCTTTTAACAGATGGCGTCCTGCTGGGTTTGGGCTGGTTCTGGGTGGGCATGGGAGGCCTTCTCCCGAGCGCTGCTCTCCGGCGGGCTGCACAGGGAGGCACGTGCAGCAGGAACTGTGTGCGCACATGCACGGGGCAGGGCGCTGAGTGCCACGGCGGTGCCCTCCTGGGACACTTGGCACAGCGATACCTGTTGGAGTCAGCTTTGTTTTGCTCCAGGCTTGGAAAAGGATTTCAGAGGCTGTGGTGGGCGGGTGAGCGCTGACCTAGTTCAGCTAGCTGTGGAACAAGTTGTTCTGATTAGCGAGGACAGAGGAGAGCCGGGGCTGCCCTGGGCCCTCCTGCTTTGGAGGTGGAGGCTGATTAGTGAATGACTTCATTCACTAATGAGATGCTAATCAAATATTTAAAATAAGATTTCCACCTTTAGCTCCCCCTTTTCCTGCCGGGGGAGGCAGAGTTCCCTCAAAGAGCCTTGTAGGGGTTTTCTCTTGCTTCCCTGTAAGAAGCTTCCAGGGGTGCCAGAGTCTCAGGAAGGGCATTTCCTCCTGGGCTGTTCCTGCGATGTTTTCTGAGGAAAGGCAGTGTCTTGGATGAAGAGGGGTCTGTGGGGCAGGCTTGTCTGTATACCTACCCCCTATGCCCCGAGGCCCTTCTCCCCAGCGCCTGCCTGCAGGCTGGGTGAGGCAGCTGCTGCCTGTGCAGGGCTGAGAGAGGGGCCGCTTCTCTAGGAGGCCCCTGGGCTCACCCAGGTATGCCACTTTGCTTGTCTATTTTGTTTTTCGGTCACACCCGTGGTGCTCAGGGCATACTCGTGGCTCTGACTGGGCTTGGGGGACCATATGGGTTTCTGGGTCAGCCGCCGGCCAACTACACTCTGATCGTTTCCCAGAATCTTACCAGGTGGGAACAGCCCTCTCCAACCCACTCACCGGGAGTGGGGCTCAGGCTGGGTGCACTTCTGTGTGTGAGGCTGGAATCACAGCTCCAGGGGTTCGGAGATTGGGTTAAGACTGGGTGGGCGTGGCTGGTGGTTTACACCTAGTAGACCCCTGGGGATGTCCAGGCAGCTCTCACATGCTTGCTGGCTTCAGAGGGAACACAGTTAAAAGGAGCACTGGTAGCGGAGGCAGGCATGTGTGCTTTCTGCACTGATTTTGATCCCCTTACTTTGCAGGGTCCTTCCCTCATCACTGGCCATGGGGCCATGTGACCTTCTGCTGGGGGGGCCCTGCTCTGGGGAGAGGGTGAGGTGCTCTCTAGGTGGGACTTGAGAGGAGGCACTGTGGACTGGGGGCAGAGATGGGGGTGGTTGTGGGAGGGGGTTTCTTCTGGAGCTGGAACAAGTGTCCCAGCTGTGCAGTGTGAGAAAAGAATCCAGGGGCTGCTGGAGACAGCAGCTGAAGCTTTCATCCAGCCACCTGTGGCACCAGGGGCTGAGGACCCCAGCTGCACTTGAGTGCTTGAGACAGTGGCCCCTCCAGACTGACGCTCTCTGAGTGCGCGGCCCCAGAGGCCAGGGTGATGGGCCCTGAGTGGGCATTTCCGGTTCTGGCCCTTTGCGTCGGGATATGGTTCAGGAGGGGTGTCTTTGCAGCTTTCTCTGGGGCCGGGTTTTGAGAATCATCCAGACGGTCTGTGGATTCGGGCCTGGAATTGCTGCTGAAATCGCTTTCCCACTGTGTTCTGTGAAGTCGGCCGCCCTGGGGCTGGGGCAGGGGGCCCAGTGTTGGGCTTCTGGGCAGGTGCTCGACGGGTATACCCAGTGATGCAGGACGGCTTTGGCCTAGGTGCTGCGCTCACTCCCTCTCTCGCTCTCCTGGCCTCTCCTGCCCTAGCGTGGCAGGTGCAAGTGCCCCAGCGACTGCCCTCCAGCGGGTCTCAAGACTGAGGCCAGGACTGGAGCTCCTTGGTGCCTCCGGGGAACGGAGCACTCTTCCCTGGAGAATTGCTTTTTTCCCTGATTAGGACTGTAGAAAGGGTTTGCTCTGGGGACGTTTCTCAAAGCCCTCTCGCCTTGTTTCTCGTAGGATTTGGAGTTCCATGGGGTGATGAGGTTTTACTTTCAAGACAAAGCTGCTGGAAACTTTGCCACCAAGTGCATCCGGGTGTCCAGCACGGCCACCACGCAGGATGTGATTGAGACGCTGGCAGAGAAGTTCCGGCCAGACATGCGCATGCTGTCCTCGCCCAGGTACTCTCTGTATGAGGTGCACGTCAGCGGAGGTGAGTGGGATGGGAAGGCGCTGAGCCTGATGCGTCACTTTTCCAGGGCACGACCCCAGACTCTGTGGTGGTGGCTGACATCAGCCTGCGGAGCCAGCTCAGCCCTGAGGAGGCAGCATCCGGTCTGGGCTGTCTGGGAGGACTCGGGGTGCAGTCACAGTACCCCGGAAACAGCGTGAATGTGAATGAATCAGTGGCCGGAAGCAGTCGTTCTTTGTTATTCTTGGGGGAAAGTGAGGGCTTTTGGGGGAGACTTACATAGTTAATTTCTTCTTCTGACATTTGAAATTTCTGAAAATACTCAGCATCTCTATCAAATGCCAATTTCAGTTGGACTGATTGCCAGTGTAGAAATAGAATTTAGGATTTTCTATGGGTGCTTTAGAAATGTTGAGTCATCTGTGAGTGAAACATCAGGCTGAGAGCTGCATCCAGAGGGTGGGAGGCAGTAGCTTTCTCAGCCCCCTCAAAATCACCCTGAGCCACACCCCTACCCCCTCAAAATCATCTTGATCCATACTGCTGATCCCCTGAAAATCACCTCTGTTCGTACCCCTGCCCTCCTCAGAATCCCTCTGGCTTGCACCCCGGCTGTCCCATAATCACCTTAACCCACACCCCTGACCCCTTCAAAATCACCCTGAGTCGCACCTCTACCATGCTCAAAGTCATCCCAAGCTGCATCCCATCCCTGCATCACAGCAGGCTGTACCCCAGCCCTCTTCAAAGTCACCCCAACTGGCACTGCTCTCTACCTCAACATCACCCCACCCTTGTTCCTGGTTGACCCCTCTCATAATCACCCTGACCTGTGTCCTACCCTCCGGAAGATCACCCCAACCCGCACCCCCCTACTCCTCTCAAAATCACCTCGGCCCACACCCCTACTCCTTTCAAAACTGCCCTCACCCCACCCCTGGCAGTTCCCCTCAAAGTCACCCTGGCCTGCGTCCCTGCCAGCCTCCTTCAGTGTCAACCCGGTCACATTCTTTGTGGGGCCACGCTCAGCCCCGGACGGCAGTCTGGCCGAGGCGCCCACTCCTTGGGAGTAAAGAGCTTAGGGACCTGGTCTGCGTTCACCAGCTGAACAGCATCACCTTGGTCATAGGACAGTTGTGAGGGGGAGAGCGTGCTCTGGGTCTTCTTCAGAGCAGTTCCCGAGGGACCCCGTTGGGTCTGGGACCGACCTTGGTGCCACAGCCCACAGGGAGGCTCCTGCTTGGTCAGCGAGGCCTTTCCTACAGATGCGCCTCTGTCATTTGGGGCTGGGTGGGTACCGGTAGGGTTCCACAAGCTGCACCCCATACCCTCCTGCATGTCCTAGTGCTGGCCTCAGCTTGGCCCTCAGACCTTGACTGCAGGAGCCCGCAGCTCTCGGTAAGGTCCTGCTGAGGCCTGACTGTGCGCAGGGTTTGGGAGGCTCTCGGGGATGCTGCCTCCTTGCTCATCCTTGCTGCTGCCAGCCTCCGCGCCAGTGGGGGCCGGAGTCTGCAGTGGACGCTGCTGCCACCTGGCCACCTGACGCTGTTGGCGTGGTACCTGGCAGTTGCTCTTGTTACCATCGAAAGCAGCAAGAGCTTTCCTGAGGGGCCAGGTGCTTCGGCCCAGACACTCTTGGAAGGTCTAGACTTGATGGAGTGCTGTAAAAGACACAGAGAGAGCCAGCACAGATCTTGCAACAAGCAACGTTGGTATTTGTGGCTTGTGGTGGTTGCTTCCAGCTCCTTCGTCTGGAACCTCTTTTCCTCTTCGGGTGTCATCCCCGTGTTCTTGGCATCACCTACAGCTGATATCGACTTTCTTACTCTCAGTCTGGCTCTCTGGGACCCGGGGACATTGGCCTCTGCCCATGGCTTCCCTGCCTGTGTGCTTCCTGTGCCCACTCCGCTGCCCCGGAGGCCGGAGGGGCATCCAGCTGTGGGGTTGCAGTGAGTGGCTGCACTGTGTAGTCCCCTCCCTCTCCTGGTCAGGGGTCTTTAGGCTTAGCAGGTCTCTGAGGAGGAGAAGGATATGCCCCATGCCAAGGATGTGGTCACTTCCTGGGGAGGGGCCACAGGGCGAGGGCAGCAGGTTTGGTGAGAGGAGCACAAGCCAACATGAAGGGGGACGCAGAGCTGCCTCCTTCGGTGCCAAGGGCCAGCGCCAGGAGAGGGTCCTCAGGACAGGCAGGGCAGGTCTGCTGCCCACCCGAGGTACCCTGAGAAGGGAACTTTTCAGTGTTTGCCCCTGTTGTGTGTTCAGATCTTATTTCCTGTGCGAGTCTGGCTGCTGTAGGGCGTTAGCCCTGGCCGGTGTCCGGCTTCCGCTCCGCTAGTGCACTTCCCTAGAAGTTCCAAGGGTGCCAGATGTTGTAGTGATGCACGTCATCCATAACCACGGCTTTCCTTTCTTTTTTTTTCATGTTTGAAGAAGAAAGAAGATTGGATATAGATGAGAAGCCCCTAGTCGTGCAGTTGAACTGGAATAAAGATGATCGAGAGGGCCGATTCGTGCTTAAGAATGAGAACGATGCTCTGCCTCTCAAGGTGGGTGCCCGTGTGCCCCGACCCTGGCCCTGCCCGGGGCGGCCTCAGCCAGCTCCAGAGCCTGCGACGCTAAGGCCTTGTTGTCGTCTTGCTCCCTTCTTCCCTTTTACTTTCCTCTCCAAAACAAGGCCTCCCCGTCCCTGATCACCGTCTTCCTCACCAGTGACCCCAAATCCTGCCCCTCACTTTGTCAAGGAGTTAGGTGAGCTCTCACTTCTAAGACGTTCATCATCTCATGATCACGTAATTCACCGGTTTCCCCCAAATTGTAAAGCCAGACTCCAGATCAGCAAGAATTCAAAAGGAGGAAGACCTCAGCAGCAGACTCCTGTGTGAGTGCCCAGAGCCGCTGACACACGCAGGCCCGTCTCAGACTCCTTCCTAGTCCTGAGCATGGCCCAGAACTGGCCCACACGGACTTGGGAGCAGGGTGCCTGACCTTTGCCTGCTTGCCCCGGAGAGCCCTGGCACCTCAGCCCCCAGGGGGCCCTGCGCTGCACGGGTCACGCTGGGAAGGTTCTGCCAGGCTGCCCTGCCCCCAGTGGAGCAGCTGGGTCTCAGGAGTCTGGGAGCAGAGTGTCCATGGCTGCTGTGTGCCGGGCTCCTGTTTGGTTCCTGCTCGTTGGGTGTGTGTCCAACGTGGCTGTGTCTCTGGCTGCGGACCCAAGTATGTGGCCCTGGGGACGCAGCGATAGGTGTATGTGCGCCTACTCCTGGGCCTGGCATCAGAGCCAACAACACCCTTGTGCTGGCCGCTTCCCTTTGTCACTCCAGCCGAGACTATTCATCCGCGCCACCTCCAGCTGAGCCTTACCCCTGTTGGGGTGGCGGTGCCGGGGGTCCAAGCACACTTCTGATTGCACCCTGGTTCTGCGGGGCTTGTAGGCAGCTTGCAGTGCAGTTGGATGGGCCAAGGAGCAGCAGCACATATACCAAAGGGCAGGCCCAGGCGTGGGAGGGGTGCTGCTCCCGAGTCTGGCTGGGGCCCCACAGAGATGACCTCTGCCTGCTCCTTGCTCACGTCAGTGTTTGGCGGTGACCCCGAGAGGAAAACGCTGCGCTCGGAGAACTCTGTCACTGTGTGCCAACGTGATCTTTCTTTCACCAGAAGGCTCAGAGCAATGGCCCCGACAAGCAGGAGAAGGAGGGCGTCATCCAGAACTTCAAGAGAACACTCTCAAAGAAGGAGAAGAAAGAGAAGAAGAAGCGTGAGAAAGAGGTGTCGCGGCAGGTGTCGGAGAGAGAGGAGCGCCTGTTCCCAGGAGAGGACGTGTGAGTTACTTCTGTGGCCAGAGCGGTGTGGGGGTGGGGGGAGGAGTGTCAGGTGTGGGAGCCTGTGGGCGCCTGCCTGGCCTTCCAGTGGCGCTCTGGGGCACCTGGTGGTGGCAGATGTGCTGCCCCGCGTGCTGTGCTCCTCTTGCCAGCCTTTCACGACTGCCCTTCTGTCTGGGGAGTGGCCTTGCTGTTCTCATAGCTGGAAACACTTCTGCCTGCTCCCAGCAAAGGCAGCTTTCTCCTTGCACAGTGCAGTTTTCTTCAATTTCTGTGGCCCCACCTGCCCTTCCCAGATCAGTGTTCCCTGCTCAGCAGCAGTGCTCAGGAGAGTGGCTTGTGGCCATTGTCAGGGCGTCAGGGGCTGGACTCTCTCTTCATCTTGACTCATCTGTCCGCACCAGGCTCGAGGCCTGCTCCCCGGGTGGACCACAGTGGCCTCCATTGCTGCTGTCATGCAAATACTTGGTGTATGTGCCCTAAATCAGACTCTGGGGATTCCCGAGAACCTCCCTGAACCTGGGTGGGGGGGAGGAGGGCACTGCGGGTTCTGCGTCCTGACACACTCACCTCGTGTTTATGGATTGTTGAAACTGGACCTTTATATTTTCTTTTTTTTGGGGCCATACCCAGCGGGACTCAGGGCTTGCTCCTGGCAGCACAGGGATTCAGTTGGATCAGGGTCGACAGCATGCCAGGCTGAACCCTTGTACTATCTCTCTAGACCCTGAAATGAACTTTGACACAGCAGTTCCCCATAAATGAAAATTAAATAGAAGTTTGCAAAAAATTAAATGTTTTCTATTTTTTAAATAGAAGTTTACACTATTAAATAAAAATTAAATAGAAGTTTGCAAAAAATGGATTTTTTTTCTATTTTTGAGGGGTAAAGTTTGGGCCACACTCAGGGGTTACTCCTGCCTCTGTGTTCAGGAACTATGCCTGGCAATGCTCAGGGGACCATCTGGAGTGCCAGGGATAGAACGCGGTCAGCTGTGTGCAAGACAGGCGCCCTCCACTGCAGCCCCCAGCACAAATAAAATGTTTTGCACACAAAGCACTTAATACATAATTCAAATGATGGTTTGCCATTCTGTCATAGATTTGTCTACACTGTCAGCTGGTTGTTGTCCCTTTTCCCGTCCCTGTAGGTGTGCACAGGCTCTTGGTTTTGTTTTCTGTGTGGTTCTTGGCATTATGTGGTTCTTGCAGGGGCTCTCCTCATGCTGCCTTTTTGGGGGCTCCTCTGATCTTTTCCTTCGGGCCCTCTAGAGGAGTGGCTCCGTGACAGCTTAGGTGCTCGGGGTCCGAGCCCGTGGCCACACTGCCCCTTGGAGAGCCTGCTCCCTCCCTCAGTGGGATGGTATGCCAGGTGTGCGTGCTTCCAGCAGCCTGGGGCCGGGCCTTCCCACACTTGGGAGCTGCTGCTGGTCTTCCCCACTGTTCAGGTGTGGTGAGGGCTGAAGCCTGCGGCAGGAATGGGCTTCCAGGTGAAGTTGGGGCTGAGTGTGGTGCTGGAGTGGGCCCGAGGGGTTTCCCTATGCTGTCGGCAGCCTGGCAGTGATGGAGGTGCGCGCCTGTGTGTGCCGCCGAGGGCCTGTGGGCTCGGTGGTGCCGAGTGGGTGCTGTGGCTCTGCTGCTGATCAGCTTCCCGAATGGGCTGACGGTGTGTAACGACGTGAGCCGCTTCCAAAAAGTCAAGCTTAACTGAGTCTCAGCTTGACTGTCATTAAATTTCTCTTAGGCCGAAAAGCTCCATCTTTAGAGTGTGAGTGGGAGGAGATGGCTTAGTGATGGCCTTGGGCTGAGCATGGTGAGTCCCTGGGTTTCTCTGCCATCAGTACCCCAGGGAAGAGTTTCCCAACACTGAGTCAAGTATATCGATCCTAATGTTCATTTTTCTGGGCCGGAGAGGTGGAACAAGTGTTAAGACACTTGCTGTGCGTGCGGCCAACGCAGGGTTGGTCCTTAGCACTGTCAGATCCCCTGAGCCCTGCTTGGAGAGGTCTCTCAGCACAGAGCCGGGAGGAAGCCCTGAGGACCACCAGGTGTGTTCCTAAGACAAAGTTCAGCTTTTGACTCCTCTTTCTGTATAGTTGACTCCTGTCTCAGGGGCTGTTGAAAGTTTCCTCTTGCAAATCTTGCTTTTAGAGAGCCAGTCTTTTTGTTGTTAAAGTCAGTCTTTCAGTTGTTAAAACATCCTGGTATTTAAGTGAAAATTTACTGTAAGTTTTAGAGCAGTTCATAATAAAGTCAAGTATTTCTGTCCTTTATTTCCTGTGATGGAACAATTTCACTCCATCTTGGTCTGCTCAGGATATGCTGGCAGAAATGCCTGAAGTCGTAACTTGCGCATTAGTCCTTATTCTGCTCTGCAGATGGGCTTTACCCTGTTAAGTTCTGCTCAGTGCTTCCTTTCCTGTGGCAATGGACACTAGGGCCGGGACTTCAGGCCTGGGGTGGCTACACCCACCTGCCACCAGCTTCTTTGTCGTTTCACTGTAGTGATCCCACTGGGGCTTTCTGGGGCTTTCCCCACAGTGAGAATTCCCGACTGGCTGCCGAAGTTTACAAAGACATGCCCGAGACCAGCTTCACTCGCACCATCTCCAACCCTGAGGTGGTCATGAAGCGCCGGCGGCAGCAGAAGCTCGAGAAGAGGATGCAGGAGTTCCGGAGCTCCGACGGGCGGCCAGACTCAGGTACGTGGCTGTGTGTGGAGACCGGTGAAGGACAGCTGGGGGCAGGCTAGAGCAGACGGGTCAGTCATGGTCTTTCCCAGGAAGTGCCCAAGGAGGGGAGGTGCGGAGACCTTCCTGCCTGTCCGTCTCCTGCCGAGAGCACGCGGGGAGCTCCCATGCAGAGCGTGCGTCCCAACTGTCCAACTCTCAGGTTCCTCTATTCTCCTAGGAGGTGGCTACAAGAGCATCTTAGAAATGGAACGACACACAGCCGGCCCGTCGCCCTTTCCATCCCGGCCTCAAGCTGGTTCCCCTGTCGGTCTCTTCCAGCACCACCCTCTCCTCTCCCAATTCCTTTGCTCTTTGCCTCTTGGCTTTAAGCCCTGCCGTTTGTCAGGTCATTCTGCGGAACCATCCTGTTTAACATCTTTCTCCGTGCATGTCTGTTTCCTGGATTATTGGGGTGGGGGAACAGAAAAGCTTAGAGTCATCCAACGGTGACTTTTGGTGTTCACAGATACGTGGACTGAAACTGTCCCGGTCTCGTCGTCAGCTTCATCCTTCTTGCTGCTGGGGGAGGGGCGCACAACTCTGTCCCTTGGATGTTGGGCAGGTGACAGAAGGGATTCTGTCCTACACCTGAGTCCTTTGACCATGTGCACATTGGAGTGTTCTTTGCAGCAGCCTCTGTTTTCACTTTCTGAGAAACCCAGATCTGACACGTTTTTATCCTGTGGCCATTGACGGCCGATTCAAGGTGTGCCTTGAGTGGGGAGGGTGACAGTGGAGAAGCTCTGTGCCTCCCCTAGTCCTTGCTCCTCCCCATCCTGGAAGCCGATGCCACCTGGCCCCAGATGAGCCACAGCTGCTCCCAGGCCACGGGGCCACAGGGAAATGGCTTTTGCCTTTTGGGTTGTCTGGTTTTCGCAGTGATTCCTTCGGCTCTGTGTGGAGTAGGGCAGAGCCATTCAGCCAGGACTTGCTTGGTGGAGTGGAGCTGACCTCAGCCCAGCCAGGAGCCACACACTGCCACCCATGCATGTGGGTGGGCACACGCACACTCACACTCACACTCACACTCACACCTCTTGCTTCCTAATACTCATGCCCAGGGGGCTGGAAGTTGCCGGTTTCTGAGACAGAACCCAATCTTTGTCCTGCTCTACCAAGTCCAGCAGGTCTGGGTTCGGGTCCAGCAGGTCTGGGCTCAGCTCTGTTCTGTCACTGCTGATAGCTTCTTGTCCTGGTGGTCTGAGGTAGAACTGTCCCATGATACGCGCTGTGCGGATCTCTCAGAGGACTTTTGCTGACCACCCGCTGTGGGGGACTGGTCTCCATGGCTGCCTCTGTTGCACTCTGCACCTGTGTCCGCTTTCTTGAGTGTCCCCTGGACCCTGCCTCCCCACACAGCACAGCGACGACTGTTGTCCCTCCTGCTCTAGTGCAGGTTCGCCACCTGCCGTCTGACCCTGCATGTGACTGGTCAGGCTTTCAGGAGTGCTGGGGTCAGACCTCAGCAGAAGGACCAGGGGAAGCAGTGAGATGGGCACACCCCGTTTCTGTGCTAGAGGCCACTGTCTTAGGGAGACCTGTAGCTGCGGGCCAGGGTGGGGGACCCGGGCACTGTGGAAGGTCTTCCCATAGCTTCCCGGGCCTCCAAGGGACCCCGTACTGGGGGCGGACTCGGGGCTCCTCGGCAGGCACCTGGTGCTGGGAGAGGCGCAGGCTGGAAGCCCTTCTGGTCCCAGCCCTGCCCAGCCCCCTCTCCTGCCTAGTCCTGCCCCCAAGCCCTGCTCTAGCCCCCAGCCCTGCCCCACCCCTCTTAGGCCCTGCTGTGCTCCCTGTGCTCTGCTCCTGTGGTCTGGTGGCTCACAGCATGCCTGTGCCTTCAGGTGGGACGTTGAGGATCTATGCTGACAGCCTAAAGCCCAACATCCCCTACAAGACCATCCTGCTCTCCACCACGGACCCTGCGGATTTTGCTGTGGCAGAAGCGCTGGAGAAGTACGGGCTGGAGAAGGAGAATCCCAGGGAGTACTGCATCGCCCGGGTGAGTGCCGGCCACCAGGTGTTGGCCCAGGATGCTGCTGTGCCCATGACACCTGTTCCCTGCTGCTCTGAGCAAGGGCTTTAGGGCCTTTCCCGGGCCACTCTCAGATGCTGGGAGCTGTCCTGGCAGTCAGCTGTCTGCCTTTTCCGTTGTGGCGCAGTGCCTGGCATGGGGAGTGTAACAGCCCTCCTGGAGCTGGGTCCTGAGTCTGTCCCACCTGCCACCCCATGGGACTCAAGGTGTCAGAATCAGCCTGGAGTATGCAAGTCTAGGCGGCGTGAGGTCAGGGGCACGTGAAGCATGAGGTTGGAGCCTGTTGGGTCAGGCAGCTGAGGTCAGGCAGCTGCTCTCTTCTGGACAGCCCAGCGCCCAGAACGAGCTGCTTCTTGGTTAGGTAGGGCCACTGTCTCCACTCGGTCTCAGCTTCGTTGGCCGTTGTGTTGTCTGTTTGGGGAGCCCTGAGGTGCTTGGTGGAAGCAGGGTGCTGTGCACCCCAGACATGCACTCCAGCCCTCTGAGCCCTCCTTGGATGGTGCTGAGAGAGGGAACCTCTTTTCCACTGAACCAGCAGATGTCAGCAGGGGACAAGGAGTCACCTCATGTTCCCACCCTCAGGCTGACATGGGGGTCGGATAACCACAAACCTGGCAACCTCACCCTTGGCCTAGCGAATGTGGCAGGTTCATGCGCTCCCCTCCTCAGCACTGGGCGGTGGGCTGCAGACTCCTGAGCCTGGGGCCAGGCTGGGGTGGTCGGGTGGGCACGTTGTCTGAGCCCAGCTGCGGCTCTGCCGCTCGTGGTGAGTAGCTCCTGGGTCCTAGGCAGGAAGTGGTAGAGCTGCTTTCAGGTCAGTGACTTGATTTGCCCCTGGGCTGTGTGTGCAGGACATTCAGGCGGGGCGGGGGTGGGGGGCGCTGTGCTAAGGGGTGTGCATTTGTGTGTGCTGTGTGTGTACCCAGTATGTATTTGCTCAGTGTATATACATGTGTGCTCCGTGTGTGTTTGTTGTGTGTGCATATGCTTGGTGTATAGCTGTGTGTGCTTGTATGTGTGCACTTGGGGGGGGTGTGCGTGCGCGTGCACAAGTGCACGCTCATTTGTATGTGCATGTGCTCAGTGTTTATGTGTATGTGCTCGGTGAATGTGTATGTGCTTGGTGTATGTGTGTGCATGGTTTGGATGTGTGTGTGCTTGGTGTAGGTGTGTACGTGTATGTTCAGTGTATGCATGTATGTGCTTGGTGTATGCTTGTGCTGGTGTGTGTGCTTATTGTATGTAAGTCTGTGTATCTTAGTGTATGTGTTTGTGCTTGGTATGTGTGTGGATGCTTGTTGTATGAATGTGTATATGCTTAGCAAATGAATGTTCTTGGTGTATGTATCAGCCTGCTGGTGTATGTGTATGCATGCTCATTGAGTGTAAGTGCATGCATGCTTAGTGTATGTGTGTGTGTATGCTTGGTGTGTTGCGTATGTGCTTGGTGTAGGTGTGTGTGCATGCTTGGTGTATGAATGTGTATGTGCGTAGTACGTGTGTGTTCTTGGTGTACGTACATATGTGTGAGTTAGGTATAGGCGAGTGTGCTTGATGTATGTGTACTCAGTGTGCAAATCTGTGTGCTTGTTGTATATTTGTGCATGTTTGTATGCTTGGTGTGTGTTGGTATGCACGTGTATGTGTACTTGGTGAGTGTGCACGCCTGACTGTGCGCATGTTGATTATGGCTTGAATAGAAATTTCTTGTTCATTTTGTGGCTTGACTTGCCCTCAGCTTTTAAATAGTGCCTTTCATAGAGTCAGCGTCTTAAACTTTAAAGTTTAATCATGTTTCAGCATTCCGTGTTGTTCTTTATATTCTGTGTAAGAACTGCCTCCTCCAAGGGTGCAAATACTCGCCCTAAATGTTTTTTCAGAAGTTTTATAGTCTCAAATTTCCCCTTTGAGGTCTGTTTCGAGTGGATAAAAGTGAGGTGTGTGACCAACATCAGTTTTCGTTATCTTCCACACACCTCTTCAGTGACCAGCCCCCAATCCTCCTATTGACACCTTTGTTGAAAAATCATTGACTTTCTACATGTGGTTCTGCTTCTAGGATCAGTTCTTCCTGGCCACTGGCAAGCTGTTGCACTTAGTGTAGATCTGAGATAAGCCCTAAGATGGCCAGTCCCAGTTCTGGCATTTGACTTTGGTTCTGTGTGGTCTGCATGTGGGTGGCTCCCTCAGCTCTGGAGTCTGGCCGGAGTCTGGATGGGTTGGAGCCTCTTTGTGGGGCCATGGTCGCTCTTCGAGGTTGGAGCAGAGCCTCTCACCTCAGCCACGCACCCTCTCTCTCTCCTGCAGAGCACACCTCCTCTGTGCCCTTCTCTCTGTTGCTGGAAACGCTAGAAAGCGTGGTCCATAGGGAAAACAGATAGCTCCATGATGTTGGGACTTGTGCCTGACTTGCAGTGAAAAACAGATGAGAAAACATGTTTTTCTTCCGTCAAAGCCTGTGCAGTTGCCCAGGAACGTGGTGGGCAGAGAAACTGCACTGCTGTAAGTGAAGTGCTAAGGATGTGCAGGGTGGGGTCTGACCTACTGGACAGAGGCCCCCAGATGGTGAGGTGTGCATGCCACACCCCACCTCTGCAGGTTCTGAGACACAGGGCCGTGTCAGTTGCAGCTGGCTGCAGAGATGCCGAGTCAGCGTTCTCTCTAAGCAGCCCATCTGAGTCCTCTGCTGATCCCAGCTGCCGTATCTCCCTTTTGACGGCTCCAGTGCAGGGATGGAGGCCTTGCATGGGCCAGATGCAGCAGAGTATGTACTGTACTGAAAATAGCATAGTGGCGGGTCCTGTCTCCAGGATCCTGGTGGCCACAGATGGGGGACCCTCTCCGAGGTACAGAGTGCCAGAAAGGAAAAGTGGCCAACTCCCCTTTGGAAGTACACTTTCACCTCCTCCCTCCCTTCCCCCTCACCTCACCATTTGCCCCTCTCGCTTCTCCCAGTACCTCTCACCTCACCCACCACACATTTGTCCCCGTGACAGAAAGCCCCAAGGGTGGGACATGCCCCTGGGCAAGATAGTTTCAGGGCTTAGAACGCAAAGGGTTTGAAAATGTGCACCCAGAGAAGAACAGAATAAGAGGAATGAGTAGTTAGATGACAAACCCCTGCCAGCTGCCAGTGTGCCCGCAAGGCTGCTTCGGGTCTTTTGATGTAGGGGCACCCTGGCCAAAACCAAGAATAGGAAACTCCACAGCTTTACTCCGCTTCTGAGGGTGCCTGCAGGTGACTGTGAGATGCCCCAGCCGCTGCTCTTTCCCTAGTGAGTGTTGGTGTGCTTACGCACGGTCCTTAATGTTTTTGTCAACTTAAACAGTGGCTTACCGGTTGGATGAATACAATAAATGGCCAACCTGGAAGACCACTGACCAGGGGACCTACAGCGTGGATAGTCCATGAGTGTTTGTCTCCTTCTCGGTGAATGGTGACGGAGGTCAAAAGTGCCAGTCTGAGGGCCAGAGCCATAGCACAATGGGTAGGGCGTTTGCCTTGCATGCGGCCTACCCGGGTTCGATCCCCAGCATCCCGTGTGGTCCCCCGAACACTGCCAGGAGTAGTTCCTGAGTGCAGAGCCCGGAGTGACCCCTCTGTATTGCCGGGCGCCCCCAAAAAGGGTGCCAGTCTGATCGGCCATAGCCAACTCCACTTATTCCCTACACACCTCCTTACTCACCTCTCCCCTCACCTCTGCCACTCATCTCTGTTTGCTTCTCTCCGGCTTTGAAACCACAGACCGGGAGCTTTTCAGTCAGAGCGAAGGTCCCCAGGAGGCATGTGAGATGCAGGAGGCAGGAGTCGGTTGTGCTCACTGGCTTCATGGACGTGGCACTCATGGGCTTTCCCGGGATGCCAGCAGGGGCTCCCGAGGAGAGGAGCAGGTACTGTCACCTGGGAAGTGCCCAGGAGAGGAATTGCTTTTTTGCAGGAAAGAAGGTCCTAGACTTTACCCAGAACTTTTGGGTCCATTGTCTTTACCTCACAGAAAAAGAATTTCAGTAGGAGACAACAGTGAAGTAAAAATGGGTTTTATTTCTACGAGAATCTGAGAAAGGGGTGGGGGGGAGGGAGTCATGCTCTTGAGAGAACTCGGGCTTCTCCAGAGGCAGAGAATGCCGAGGCTGCCCGCCTCAGGCTGTGGATGGCATGTGTGCAGGCCACGGGACATGGCAGCGGGACACAGGGAGCAGGCGCTGGCAGCACGTGCACACCCTTCTTTTGTTCAGGCCCATTCAGGTTTTCTACCTGCTCCACCTCGGTAGGCGCCTGCTGCTGTGGCGTTGTTGAGGGCTAGAGTTTGAAACCCTTGATGACTTTCCTGGCATTCTCACGACCCTTTGTTCCTGCTGGAGCTTCTCTTAAAGGGAACGTCCGGCCTCTCCTGGGCCTGTTGTGGTGCCTGTTAAAAGTCTTATCTGACGTTTGTTGTGTGTCCACAGGTGGGTCTTGGCAGCTTAGGGCTAGGAGCTTTTTGCTGCCAACTGCCTCTTCGACTTTTCAGATCCTATCCCTTGGTTTGATAACATCCCAAGGACTCCTTGTACCCCCCATCTGCCTGACTATCTGTTCACCAGGACCCAGAACTCCTCATCCTCAGGGGGTGGGGTGGAGGGGTCTGACCAGTGTCAGAGCAGAAGGATGTGGCATGCTCGGCCCAAGAGGAAGAGCGACCATACCCACCACGCCTCACAGATGGGCTGAGTCAGCGTTTGTGTGTAAAGGGAATGGCAGCAGTGTAGATGGCGAGGTTCGAGCAAGGAGGCCGTAGGGGGATTGAGGGCAGCCAGTGCACGTGGGGGCTCAGACCTGTTGGGACTGTGCCGTGGCCTTAACTGTGCTGGTGGCGTTGGGGTAGTGTCTGCTCTGCGGCCTCAGGAGTCCTGGGGTGTCCAGGCGCTGCCGATTCAGCACGGCTGTCTGTCCGTCTGTCAGTTGTGCACTTGTGCAGCCAGGGGGCACCATAACTCAGCCCGTTTGGGCATGGCAGCCGTGATGAGCACAAGCCAGACCTTTGCAGCTGCGGGGGCTTCCATGAGAAACGGCTCCCATGTCCTATCCTGGACTCTCGTTCCAGACAAGGTCACTGTCACTCTCACTGTCCTCCCGTTGTTCACCAGTTTACTCGAGCAGGCACCAGTAAGGTCTCCATTGTGAGACTTATTGTTACTGTGTTTGGCATATCGAATATGCCACGGCGAGCTTGCCACACTCTGCTGTGCTGGCTGGATACTCTGGGTAGCTTGCCGGGGTCTCCCAAGAGGGACATAGGAATCGAACCCGGGTGGGCTATGTGCAAGTCAAACGCCCTACCCACTGTGCTATTGCTCCAGCCCCCCAGAGAAGGTGATCACTGATCACTGTCTTCCCATTGTTCATCGATTTGCTCGAGTGGGCCCAGTAACGTCTCCATTGTGAGACTTCTTGTTACTGTGTTTGGCATATTGAATACTCTCAGTAACTTGCCAGGCTCTACAAGAGGGATGGAGGAATCGAATCCGTGGGCCACGTGCAAGGCAAAACGCCCTACCCGCTGTGCTGTTGTTCCGGCCCCCAGAGAAGGTGTTCTAGAAAAAGGCTCAGATGGGCCAGGAGGTTGCTCAGAGGGAGCTCCAGGTTCTGCCCCCAGCACCACCCACTGGATCCTAGCCCAGCGCCATCAGGCCCATGCCACTGGGCTCCGTGGGGGGGGGGGATCGGGGGTCCCGAGCACTACTGTGGAGAGTTCTTCCTGTCCCAGACACTTAGGATTTTGGAGGCCACCCCAGGCAGTCTCAGGGATCTCTCTGCGTGGGGCTGGGGGTTGTGGCGTTGGCCGTGGGCAAGGCAAGCGCCCTGCCTGCTGAACTCTGGCTGCTCCCTGCCTCAGCTTCTTGCAGGCCTCTGCAGTGTCGCAGCCTCTGGCCGGAGGCTCACCGTCTCCATTCCCTTTCAGGTCACGCTACCTCCAGGTGCTCAACACTCGGATGAGAAAGGTGCTAAGGAAGCCATCCTCGAGGATGATGAGTGTCCTTTACAGATCTTCCGGGAGTGGCCCAGCGATAAAGGTAACTCCGGACTGGGCTGGTGGCCTATTTCGGGAGGGGCGGCTCGCCCCAGTGGATGGTGCTGGCAGACCGGAACCCAGGGTGCCCTCATGGGGCTCGCGGGAGCTCCTGCCAGTGAACCGGTGTGCATGGGAGGGGGAGCTGGTCTCTGGGCCTGGCAGGGAGGCCGCACTCGCCACTGTCCGATGACGCGGGCTGGGCTGGGTCAGGTGTGTTCGGTGGGTGGCCCTGCAGCCACACCACGTCCTTTCCCTAAAGCGGCCAGGGGCCCCACTAGGCTGCTGCCCGTAGCATGGCGCTTCAGTATATGAGGAAGTTGAGGCTGGGCTCTGACGGAAATAGTGACGTTCACTGCCAGCCAGTTCTGCCCGCACGCAAAGGTGGCTGCGCACCCTCGGTGCCTGGTTAGGTAGTGTCATGTTTCTTAGAGACAAATTGCCTGTGACTCACAGGTCAACAGAAACCAGGTCAGCTGCAGACCAAGTGTGTGTGCTTGCACTGGTGTGTGTGATCGGGTGTGAATGTGTGTACTGGCTTTCGGGCTGGGAAGCGGCTCGCCTGGGTGACGCGTGCTCTCTCTTACACGGGTGGGGGTCTGTGCCTGCAGCATGCGTTGGGCTTGGTGGTTGAGCCAGTCATCTGGGAGTGGCTGCACCGGCAGCTGGCTCTCTGGTTCTCACCCTGCGCTGCGCCTGTTGCAGGGATCCTCGTCTTCCAGCTGAAGAGACGGCCTCCAGACTACGTGCCCAAGAAGGGCAGGAAGCACAGTGACGGGAAGGTGGCGAGGGCGAGGGAGCGGGCCGAGGGGGCCGGCTACGGCTCTGCGCTCCCGCCCGAGAAGCTGCCGTACCTGGTGGAGCTCAGCCCAGGTGAGTCTCTGCCCCTGCTGCTCTGTTTTCAGAGGACTGGCCTTCTGGGCCTGTCAGGGAACAGGCGCCCCCACACGCGGCCGTTGCTGAGAGGCGCAGGGGCCCAGTAGGCTGCACTGGGGCCCCAGGAGCTCTCGGACCGCTCGGACAGGCTGCCCCCAGCAGCCCCCTTTCGCCAGCATGCCCTTGTAGGGCGCTTGGTGTGCTGAGGTGCAGCTGCCCTCTGGGGCTGGCCAGCAGGGGCAGTGCCCGTGGGGGGGCGGTCTGGCCTCACACACAACGCTCCGGCCTGAGAAGATGGGCCTGTCTCGTCTTAACACTTGGCGTGTCCTCAGGAGCTTTGCTTGGAGAACTTCCTTCAGCTAAGACCCTTGTTGTCTTCCACGAGGAGAGGATGAAGCAGGCACTTTGCAAGATGGTGTGCCACGCCCCCGTTGGCATATGCCTGCTCCTGCGTGGGCTGAGTGACACCGTTCTGCGGGGGGAGCTGGCATCATGCCCCCTCTGTCCTCCTCAGCTCTGCAGCTGGGCAGCTGCACCTTCTCTGGGCTGTGGGGTGGCTCTGGCACCGACTCTTTCCTTCTTTCCTTGGGTTCTGATGCCAGTTCTTTGATGTGCGAGGTTGGCTGTATCCGAGCTCACCCCACCCCAGAAGCTGAGCCACGGTCAGACCTGTGCCACGTGTGGCCAGTGCCCTGGACAGCAGCCCCGAGTTCCTCAGAAGGGTGTCTGCGGGGCTTCCAGTGCTCTCACAGGGTTTGAGAAGGGCGTGGTCACCCTGCTGCGCCCACCCTACATTTTGTGACTGTCAGGCCCATGGTTTTTCCCGAAGGTGTGGCGACTTGTGGGGCTGGGAAGAGTAGGCTGCTGGTGCAGAGGCAGCACCGGGTGGTCGGGGGTCCTGCTGCTGTGACTGTGGTCTTCCTCAGACGCAGAGGGTGTGGACTGGGAGTGGCTAGAGACTCAGTGTAGAGCAGAGGCCGAGGTGCGTGGGCTGCTGCTGGCCCGTGCCCCAGGGAGGCCTCCCCTGCCTGGCCGGGCTGTTGGCCCTGCAGTCGGGGTGAGTAGGGGGAGCCAGGGCCCGCCTTTTGAGCCATGCTTCTCGGGCTGCTTCTGTGCACGGGCAACTTGGCCCGCAGTGTGTCCGTGCCCCGATGAATGCGTCCCCTGACTCGCACAGGTCCGTCGGGGAGTCTTGGCCGCAGCTGGGGGGCTGCAGAGGGGCACCTCGCTCTGCTGCTCCTGCTGCCCAGGTCGGGCCGGGCACTCGGGGCTGTCCTTGTCCTGCACCTCACACACCCTCTCCTCTCTCTCCTGCCTCCTCCGCGCCTCGCCTCGCCTCTCCTCTCCTGGCTGCTGGCGCCGCCTTCACCCGGGCCGCACACGCGCTTGCACGCACGGGCTGCTCCCCAGGGAGGAGGAACCACTTTGCCTACTACAACTCCCACGCGCACGAAGGTAACGCCGCTGCTCGCACGCGCTCCCGCACGCCTGGGCACTGGCGGCGCTGGCTCCCGGAGAGGGAGAGCCTTTCCTCACGTTTCCCTTTGCTTGTTTGGTTTCTCCCTTCCCTGTCCCCGTCTTTGGGGTTTTCTGGTGGGGTTTGCGGTGGGGCATCTCTCCCGGCAGTGCTTGGGGCCGGCTGCCACGGGGTGCTGGGAGGGCCCAGTTCCCGCTCACAGCACAGTGCACCCTGTGCCTGATAGCCAGTGCCCCTGCTGGTAGCAGTCCTGAGAGAGGAAAGACGTTTCCCGTACTGCTGTTTCTGTCTAGAGGCTTAGTTTGCAAAATATCTGATCCCTTTAAACCAACATTTCTTAATGGGGGACCCCCAGATATTCCAAGGGGTGGGGCACAGTGAGAATAGTGTAAATGCAGGGGCCACAGCATGAGCCCAGGGTAGGATGGGGCCACAGGAGGAAAGAGGGTTAGCGGGGGTCACGGTCGGGAAAAGGTGGAGAAATGGTGATTTAGACTAGGTCCCAAGTAGAAGATTGGTCGTTAGAGGGATGGAGATCTTTGACTCTCCCCGCCAAAAGGTTGAGAGCCAGAGAGGCTGCAGTCACCCTGCTTTCCGAAGGGCCCACAGTGGGGGCATAAGTGAGAGTGCTTGGGGGTCAGAGGAACTGGGCAGCCACCCTTGACCCCCTGGAGCTGCACTGCAGGGGGCTGCTGCCGGGCTGGGGGTCTGGGGCCCCCTGGGCGAGCTCAGGACTTTGCTTCTGTGCTCACCTTTGGGGCGGCACCACCGCCTGGTGCTTTGTGGAAGTGTGGTTTGTCGTTTGTGTTTGACCGGTGGCTCATCCGCTGCTGAGTGTCGCCCCATGCGGGTCTGGTGTGGCAGAGGGTCTGCTCTGCTTTCCTCTCTCTTGGGGTTGAATGTCTCAGAACAGATGGTGTGCTTTTTCACTGGGTAAAAGCCAACTTCGAATTTTACTGGCTTGTTAAGCAAGCGGCCTTTATCGCCTATTTTGTATGGTTTCTGCATATGGACTAAGACGTGTTTTTGTTGTTGATTAATCTTTGTTGGGGACTTGGGGCCGTGCTCAGGACCTGCCCCTTGGCCTGTCCTCATGGTGGCCAGGGGACCCTATGCAGTGCTGGGACTAAGCTGGGGTGTCTCCTGCAATGCAGAGGCCTTAACCTGGTGCCATCTCTCCAGCCCAGCTTCATTCCTGAGAAGGTGTCTTTGTTTTTTAATGTTTTGGTTTTGGGCCCGAGTGTGCTCAGTATGACTCCTGGTTCTGTGCTCGGGGTCACTCCTGCTGAGGCTCTGGGGACCCAGTGTGGTGCCGGGGATGGAACCCAGCTTGGCTGCCTGCAGGGCCTGTACCTTACCTGCTGTTCCAGCTCTCCAGCCCCCAGTGATCCTCTGATGTTTGACGTATCTGCTGATCGCAGATTTTAACCAGGGGGATAAATGGTAGGAGAAAAGTCTTCCTCTTCCACTTGGTGTGCACAAAGGAGGAGGATGTGGACGTCTTGTGTTGGCTTTCACGCAGCTCTTTGCTGGCCTCTGTTTTCCCACTGGTCAGTGAAGATTGACTCAGGCTTGATGTTCAGTGGACTTTGTCTCCCATGTGTCTGCTCCTGCTGTGGCCTTGGTGTGGGTGGAGCGTGACTCTAGAGTCACTCATTGCTGCCCTGGCCATGTGGGTTATGCCTGCCGGTCAGCACTCAGCAGTGAGCACCTTCTAAGGGATGCCACAGAGGAGACTGGGACACTCCCTTCCAAGCCACTTGGAGCCCTGGGATAGCTGGGGACGGGCCACCAGAGGGGTGGTCTCTGGTGCACTGCCTTCCCAGAGTCTAGGGAGGAGGGGCGGCTCCATCTGGAGTTGACCAAGATGCATGCAGTGTGGGTTAGTGCATGGAGTTCTAGTGTGTATAGGAGTCCGGCAGTGCTTGTTGGACTCTCTGTTGTTCATATCGTTTGACAACCCCTTATTTCCTTGTCTGTACCAAAAGGGCGGAAGGCGGGGGGAGAGACAGAGACAGAGAGAGAGACACACACACAAATATATATATATATATACATATATATATATATATATATATATAGAGAGAGAGAGAGAGAGAGAGAGTGTCCCCCCACTCCAGGTGCCTGGGGACGATGGGGAGGGTGTGCTGTGGGAAGGGAGCTAGGCAGGAGATGAGCTCCGAGGCCACACGGCCATCCTACCCTTTGTGCAGCAGCTGGGGCCCAGCAGACTCACTGGGTAGGGGTTTCCGAGGCTGCAGGCTGGGGCCTGAGACTGAGGTTACACAGGGAGGCTGGGCATTGCCCCCACCCAGGGCACCGCAGGGACCGTTTCTGGGCCTGGGCTCCCTCTGAAAGGGCCACGGGTCCTCAGTGCTCTTGATCTGTCAATGAATGCTGTTCTTCAGAAACTTGAACTAAGCCAGGACTGTGGTGAGTGAGGAAGAGTCTGCATGACACAGGGAATAGATGAAAGGAGTCTGCCCTCGCTGCTAGTCAGCAGGCGCCCGCGTGTTCCCTCCCAAGAGGCTCACCGTACTCGTCTTATACCATGCAGTGCCAGTTTGGAGAGTCCCTTGCATGGGTCTCCCTCTCTCTGAAGAGTCCCTGGAAGCACCCCTCCCGTTTCTAGGCTTGCATGTGTGCAGGCATGTCCCTTTGGAGATCTGCCAATGCAGCTTGTTCCTTCTCTCTAGATGGTTCTGACTCCAGGGATAAGCCGAAACTCTACCGCCTGCAGCTCAGCGTCACCGAGGTTGGGACAGAGAAGCTGGAGGACAGCTCCATCCAGGTGAGCTCTACGGGCTGCTGGGGGCGGGGGGCAGGGGGCCAGGGGAGTCCGTTAGTCTCCCCTGGGCCCCGGTTTTGTTTAAGTGCCGACTGCACCTGGGATGCTCATGTCTTGACACAAGAAATCTGGATGTCCTAAGAAGCCCACGACTCCTCCTGACTCTGAAGGGGGCTGGCCAGTAGGGGTGACAGACATGCTGTTGCAGCACCTGTCCTGGTCTCTGAAGCCATTACGGTGAAAGAGCAGGAGAGGGGACATATTTAGCTCCCAGAGCAGAGCCTGTCTTTGAATAGGAAAGCTCGGGGTTCCTCACATGTCCCAGTGGGAGCTGAGGCAGAGCACCTCCTGTTTCCTCACCTTGCCTTGTAGGACGCATTCAGAGAGCTTGGACCATCCTCAGCTCAACAGCTGATCCTTAGCACAGTGTGGAACCCGGTGGGGCCAGAGCCCCCAGCTGTAGGCCGGGTGCAGTATGGAACCCGGTGGGGTCTGAGCCCCCAGCTCTAGACTGGTGCAGTGTGGAACCCGGTGGGGTCCGAGTCCCCAGCTCTAGACTGGTGCAGTGTGGAACCCGGTGGGGTCCGAGTACCAGATGCAGGCCGGCTGCAGTGTGGAATCCGGTGGGGTCACAGCCATCTGTAGGCAGGAGCAATAACCTGGGAACATGTACCTGTTTGGAACAGGTCCTTAAATCCAGTCACGGGGTCTCAGACATTAAAACATGGAATCATTTTGATTTATCTTCTTGGCGTCCAGTTACTTTCACGAGTCCACGCAGGCCAAGCCCAGTTCTAGGCTTGCTCGATGCTGATGGCCACAGGAGATTCGGTGCCCCTGTGACACGTGCTCTGGTCCTCCCCCTATTAGCTCTTCGGGTCGGGAATTCAGCCCCATCACTGCGACCTCACCAACATGGATGGTGTGGTGACCGTCACACCGCGCAGCATGGAGGCCGAGACGTACGTGGAGGGGCAGCGCATCTCTGAGACCACCGTCCTGCAGAGCGGCATGAAGCTACAGTTTGGGGCGGCACACGTGTTCAAGTTTGTGGACCCCAGCCAGGACCACGCTCTCGCCAAGAGGTCTGTGGAGGGAGGCCTGGTGCCGTGGCCCCTGGCAAACCTAGGGCTGCTCTGGCTCCCTGTTGGTGGGAGCCTGGCTCCTCAGTGCTGCCCGCACACCTTGCAGGCCTTGAGAATCTCAGCTTCAAAGTGGCTGTGACGGTTCTGGCTCCTCTTGGTTCAGGTGGGGTTGGAGGCTTGACCGAGTGTGAAGATGGAAAGTTGTGGCCACTTTCTAAATTGATTTTAAGCTTCAGGATTCTGTGGTCACTCCTGGGAAGGTGCCCTGGGCCACCATCGGCACTGGGCAGCCGGTCCGGAGGCTCTGGAAGGAATTGGAAGTGTTCTGGCGCCCCCTGGTGCCTTTCTGAGGACTTGCTCTTCTGGCGTCTTGTGCCGATCCTGTAGGATCCTTTAGGGCTGTTGCTTGTCTTGAGAGCCAGCAGCCCCCTGTGTCTGAGACCCGGGGTTCAAGCCTGGCTGCTGCTTCCTCTTGGAGGGAGCACTGGGGCTTCTTCCCCCTCCCTCTGCTGACAGAGGGCAGACGCCAGGCTCCCCGCCCACCCGGTGGTTCCATCCTGGCTCCAGCCTCCCAGCGTACTCTGGCCAGGTGTGACCCCTCTGCTTCTCAGACTGTCTTGCCGGGGTCTTGGCAGCACAGATTCATCGTGGCCCGTTGACCCCCACAGGCGTTGACCCCCTGCTCAGGCCCAGGAGGGCCCATGGAGCCCCACTCCCATCCTTGCTCCCATTTCTCTTGTCATCCTGTGGTGCTTTTCCACACAGACCCTGGCATGGCAGGTGTCTGCCCAGCCTGGCCTGGACACAGATGCCCAGAGGCATCTTCCCTGCACACCTGTGTCCCAGCACTGAGGCCTTTGCAGGGCTTGGATGCTGATGACTTCTGCGGGGGCCAACAGCTGCCCCTTGAAGCCTCTCTGTGTCCCAAAGCAGCAACTCATGGTGGCTTCGGCCTCACAGCAGGCTCTACTGGAAGGTTCTGTCAGTCTCAGGAGGCAGAGCTGGTGCTGCAGGTCGGCCCATGCCTCAGACAGGCAGCCTGCCTTAGTGGGCATCACTTGCCAGGTTTCTAGGTAGGTTCGAGTGAGGGTCGCCACCAGGCAGGTAGCTGTGGCGGGTCTGGGGGCACAGGCACCAGGTGCCTATCTCTGCGGGCCTAGTCTCATAGTGGGACTGAGCTGTGGCACCAGGGGCTGAGGGGCACATGTGTGGTGGGCACGGGCCGGGTGTGGGTTGTGTGCTCATGCTCCAGGCGCGTCACTTGTGCTCTGTGGAGCCCGGAGCACAGTGGCCTAGGCACGGCTTGGAAGCCAAAACTTCAGAGCTTTTGCATGCAGCTGAGAAGTGATGTTCTTGGGGGCTGGCTGCAGATGGACGAGGCTCTAGCCGGGGGGGGTGGGGAGCACGGGCAGTGAGGGTCAGAGTCTGCCGTGTTCCCTGGAGGAAGCAGCACCATGCCCAGCAAGGCGGGATGGAGCTCTGCACTCCCCTTAGACCAGTAGAACTGGGAGGCATTTCTGTGTTCTCTCAATATGTTGGTGTCAGCGAGTAAGGGCTTTGCTTTTTTAGATTTTGGGCCAACCCAGTGGTGCTCAGGGGCTATTCCTGCTTCATCGCTCAGGCGTAACCCCTCGCAGTGCTTAGGGATTGGAGTCAGGGTAGGCTGCTGGTGTAAGTCAATAACCCTGGCACCATCAGATCCAAGTTTTTTGTTTTGTTTTTTGTTACCCCAAAAACTTCTGTAATATATTGCACAAAGCTGGGTTCAGAAAGTGGGTGATCTTATTTTTTAGTAAAGGCGTTTGGTTTCTTAAAAGGTCTGATTTTATTGTATTTTTTTAGTGTGGTGGGGCCACACCTGGCAGTGCTGGGACTTGTGCTGCATTGGAACCCGGGCCGCCCGTGCTTCGCCATGTGGCCCGCCTGCTGGCCTTGGCTGGAATAGTTTGCACAACAGCACTGCCTGGCGAGGAGATGGTGAAGGAATCGTACCTACACCCACTCTTCTGATTTGAACACTTGCAGTCTCTTCCTGTTTCCCATTTCATCCTGTGGGTTAGGCTTTGGCTGAGACCAGACTCCCAATAGCAAGGGAGATAGCAACATTTTTTGTTTGCTGCTCAGAAGTCTGGGACACTCCCCGTGTGCCACGGCCTGAGCTCCCCATCTGTGTGTCTCCACTGCTCCCCCTGTCTGTGCAGGGGCCCTTGTGGTGGGGCCTGTCCTGGCCCACGCCTGGATGGCGCCCCCTCAGCCATGCCAGTGAGTGGTAGCTGCTTCCGCTCTGTTTCTCTCCGAGGAGAACGTGTATGTTCTGAATTGTCTCTTCAGAATCGTGAGCGCCAGTATTTGAGTGTCTTCAGATATTAAAAATGCGGTTTCAGCTGAAGTCTGCCCAGGTCAGTGGGCGGTCCAGTGGTTGCCATTCCTGCAGGCCCTGTGGGGGCATGTGTGGCTGCTTCCAGGCCTGCCATGCCCCCACTCCCCCCCTAGGCCAGCCCTGGCCTTCTCCCCCTGTGCTGGGGCCTGTGCCTCCCACGCCTGGGCGAGCACTGCTCCTTTGCCAGAGCTGAGCGTCCTCCCCTCGTCCCGGGGCCACTGCGGACACCTCGGCTGTTGGTCGCTCACTTGCTTCTTCCAGCTTTCGTTCTTGAGCTGTCTTGAACTGCGTCCTGAGCGTGTCGGGTAGATTCATCGAGTCGCATTATTTTCTTCGCAAGTTCGTAGGCTAGAAAATGTCTTGCAGTTTTTGAACCCTGGGATCTAGAAGATGCTGCATGGGAGTGGGACTGACTGTGTTGCCCCTCTGCCCCGACAGGACCGTGCAGGAGACGACGTTCGATCTAGGAGGGGACGTGCACGGTGGCGCAGGACTGCCCACGAGCAAGGTGGGGACCACACGGGCTCAGAGGGTACCAGAGCCTCCCTTTCTACCACTGGCCGCTGCCCAGTAACACCCACAAGCCCCTGGGCATCTGCCTCCCCTCCTTCCTGGACTACGCCTGTTCTTGGTCTCCTCATGGCTTGCCCTGGGCATCTGTCACAAGCCCTTTGGACCAGGTGCCCGCTGCTCAGTCTCGGCCCCTCGCCTCTTTCCTGTCCTGTCCTGGGCACTGTTGCCGGGTAACAAACCCCAAGACCCTATGGGCCAGGTAGCACCCTTGAGCACTTGGAGTTGGGTGGTCTTGGGCGTGCCAGGCAGCTGGCTGCTGTCTTGCTGGGGTTCCTGGTGCGGCTGTGTTCAGCGAGTGGTTAGCTAGTTAGTGGTTAGCTCAGCTGGCACGGGGGGTGCTGGATAGACGCCTTCCCTCCTTTCCCCAACTGTTGTAGCACCCACAGCCCCACAGAATCTGGGGGATGGACGGGTCCCTGAGGCGTGTTCCTCAGCCTGGGGTGCCCGTTCCCCTGTGCCAGATCAGCATCTCCCTATGTGGTCACAGCAGCACCAGGCACGTCTCAGACATTGTAGAGGTGAGCCAAGGGCAGGAGGGCACCTGGCAGCCCCGTCTCTTGTAGGACTACAGAAAACCTGCATGTGTGATGACAGGAAACTGCATGACAGTGGGAGAATGTGCGTGTGGTGATGGGGACCAGCCTGTGTGAGGACAGGGAGCCACGTGTGTGAGGACGGGCACCTGCGTGTGCGAGGAAAACTGGATCCATGTGTGTGAGGATGGGCACTTGCGTGTGTGAGAATGACTGGCACCCGCATGTGTGAGGAGGACTGGGATCCATGTGTGTGAGCACGGGGAGCCTGCATGTTGAGGTGGAACCCTGGCCAGCACACAGTACAGGGAACCCATCCCCTTCCCTCCCTTCGTCCCTCGCTGGGGAGCAGTGTGTGGTGCAGATGCCCAGCTTCAGCGCGGGTGCCCCTCCTGCTCCTGTGGCATGGGCGAGCAAGGGGGCTCGGAGGATCCCGGAGTGTCACATCCTCCGGGCATAGGGAGATGAGCCACTCGTGGGTGCTGGCTGTGTTCCTCAGGCTGTGCTCCTTCAAGCGGTATTAAACCCTTCTCACTGCCAAGGGCTGTTGACTCAGAGCCTTGAGCAGGGTGCCCTTTCACCGTGCTCCTGACTGCAGGAAACTGGGGGCAACATCCCCTATTACTCGGCTTCGTGTGGGGTACCAGGTGCCTACAGCCAAGCCTGCTGCCAGTGTCCGGTGGGGTTCAACTCTCTGGCTTCCCCTGGCACCCCGTTGCGCTCCCCCGGCTCTGAGCACAGTGCCTGGCAGTTGGCCTGAACGTTGACAGTGTTCTTCTCGGCCAGAGCGCCACCAGGCTGGACAGCGAGCGTGGCACATCAGCCTGTAGCACCGCTGAGCGTGGCCTGGTGAAGCCCATGATCCGGTTGGAGCAGCAGCAGGAGCTACGCAGGCAGGAGGGCAGGTAGGAGGAGGTGTCCTGACGGGGTGGGCGTGGGCAGGGTGCCGAGATGGAGGTAGCTCCTCAGGGAGCTTCACTTCCCTGCGGTGCGGTGGACTCCAGAGTCCAGTTCCTGAGCAGAGTGGCTGTTCCAAGAGTAGGTGGAGGAGGAGCTCTTGACACGTTGGTGCTGGGTGGTGCTGAGGTCCAGTTTCTGTGGGAAAGCCAGCCCCTGTGAGTACAGTGCAGCTGTGCAGCTGTCCCTGGGGTGCTGGTGGCTTTGTCCTTGCTGCTGATGCACCTGTGCTCAGTGGGTTCCCGGTCCTGCGATGCTAGTGCAGCCAGGCTGCCCTTTCCTGTGCACTGGCCTTTGGAGGGAGTGATTCCCAGCTTGTTTGGGACCACAGCTGTGGTGCTCAGCACTCTGGCCCCAGCATTCTGCTGTTTCCACCCTCCACCAGAAGGCCGTGCATGGCCTCCCTCACATCTTAGCTTTCAAGGCACAAAATGGGTGGATCTGTGTGGGAATACTGGGGTTTTAACTCACGTGTCTTTGGGACTTTTGCTATTTTTCAGGATTTTTGTTGTACCTGTGAATCATTTCAGCTGTCAGAGCACACCCTTTGGCTCAGTAGTTTCTGCTGCTTTGTGCCAATGAACGGACCGTAGTCTGGGCCAGTGATTAAGAAGCACTCACTGTGCTAAACGCGGCCCCTCTTTCCGGTGAATGGTGTGGCCAGAGGCCCTTGCTTTATAAGCTAGCTGAGAAGTAGACAGTGACCCATTCCTAGCCATGAAGTCTGGAATGAATGCATCAGACCAGTCAAGAAATGGGACAGTGTCGAGTTTTCTCGTGTCTCAACTCAACATGCGATTTGGTATAAGAAGTAAGAAACAGAACGTTGGGCTGTTGTGAAAGCAGGCCCGAGTGCAGACCGGGCACAGGCAGGATGTGGAGGTGGCGTTTGGAGGACCGGGAGCGGCCTCCCCAGGCTCTTCGGAACGATGGGCGAAGGATGGGCGATGGGCGGACTCCCCGGTGTTGCCCAGTCTCTCCCTTTATGGTGCAGTCGTAGTCGTCGTTATGGCCGTGGTCTTGGTCATCAGAGTTCCATCATCCTAGTCCCTCGAGGGTGGAGGAGACCTCAGAGTCTCCAAAGTCTCAGGTTTCCTTCTCATCTTCTTGTTGTCTTCTCTTTGTTGCTGTGCTCTATCTTCTTCCTTTGTGCTCTGCTTCTCTGTGTGCCGTTGTGCTCTTCTCTTAAGTCCTCTGTCTTTTGTCCATGCCGTTGTCTTCTCCTTCAGTCTCTATCTCTGTCTCTGTCTCTCTTTCTCTCTTTCTGTCTCTCTCTCTCTCTCTCGTGGTCTCTAGTCTGCTGCCACTGTCTTCTTCCTTCTTCTTCCAGTTTTTCTAACCCTGTGACTGTAACTTTCTGATGATGACCTCCTAACTCTCTGATCTGATCCGACTCGCCTTCTGACCCTCTGACGACTGACTTGCACTGACCATCTGACTTCCTGAGCTTCTCACCCTCTCATCTCACCTGACTTCCCTTCTGACCTCTCCAGCCCCTTGCAGCCTAGTTTATATAGAAATCATGTAGGGTGGGGATACAAAGGTGGGCTTGAACGTTAACAAATAAACAAAGAGAGAGGCAAGGCCACTCCTCCAGGAGATCAACTCAAGGACAAAATCTCATCTAAGGAGATTACTTCAGATTTCTGGAAGATCCGCTCAGGGCTGGGATTCCATTCAGGGTGTGTTGCTTACTTCTCTCCTCAGCTAGTAATCCACTTAAATAGTTGTAGTAAATTTACTTCTTAAAATATTCCTAGCAATGTCATTTTGTGTGAGCACAATAAGAGATGTATCAAGCTTAATGTTTGGCTTTCCCAAGCACATCTCACTATATATTCCAGACCACAGTTCTTAGGCCAGGTTAGTCTTCCTAACCCCAGCAGGGTCCTTATTCCTCTTTTGGGTCATGACAGAGTTTGTCCATGACCGTGCTCTTAACTTATAGTTAAGTATTATGGCACTTGGCCTGGCCCATTTCAGTGCCAGGGTAGCTCACGGCTTACCATCAGTGCCTCGTCGGGACCCTGCTCTTGGAATGCTAGGAACTAAGGGCCAGTGAGGCTTTAGTCAAATAAATACGAATGCCCAAGAGTAATATTACTTTGGAGTCAATTAACTCTCATGTTACATAGCATAGCAGCAATTGTCTTCCTATGTCTATACAAAAAGGACATTGTTAAATAAACCATACAAATGACATAAAGGAAAGAGAAAAGCAATATAGGATTATTAGTTGTGCCTCAGTTGCTCTGTTGTAGGAGTGGCTCAGTAAACCTTAAGGTCCCTGCGAGAGCAGCAAAGTGTCATCCAGCAGGAGAGGAGAAAGGTCAATGTGAACAATGCCGTTGGGATATGCAGAATTTACACATGGATATAGTGAATAGGCAAATGTGATATATTAGCGATAGTATCAGATAAGCCACAGAAGGATTGTGTCTGTTTTCCATGAGCACGTATTCAAATTTTTTACAAGGACAGGTTATTATTATTATTATTATTTTGCTTTTTGGGTCACACCTGGTGATGCACAAGGGTCACTCCTGGCTCTGCACTCAGGAATTACTCCTGGCGGTGCTCATGGGACCATAAGGGATGCTGGGAATCGAACCAGGTCCGCCACATGCAAGGCAAACACCCTACCCTCTCTGCTATCTCTCCAGCCCAAGGACAGATTATTTTATTTTGTAAAGACTTACGCAAGAATTTGTTTGAACTAGAAGTATGTTGGTTTGTTGATGCTAAGACAGTGGTAGAAATGTGGGTCTTCTTAGATCAGGCTTTGTTTTTACATATATAGTATCGGTGTAATTAGCACTTGGCATATGTGGAAAAGTCAAGTTGGGGAATAGGGGAGAGAGCATTTGTTATTGGAATTGGTTGAGCCAGTCTTATAGGTGGAATGTCTTTAAATCATTATTTGAATTAGTGTATTCAATGATTGTATATATCCGATTCCAAAGGCAGTCACAGATCTGTTCCCATTTGTCTGGAAGTTAGTAGATAAAAGTGGTGCCACTGCTGAGAGCAGCGGTTGTTTTTGTGAACTAATGAAATGTGCTGATAGCGCGTAACCTTTCCAGTTCCCTCTGAAGACTGCTGTGAGTAGATCATGCTGGGTATCAGTTTGATGTCGGCCCAGGTAGTTCTTCTGGGCATCTCCCTGTCAGAGTTACTCTTTGACACAGAGTTACTCTGTGCTGAAGCAGCCGCTGCTGCACACGCACTCCTGCACTCCAGGTCTTTGCATGGATAAATGTGTGGCACGTTTTTCCTGTTCCTATCTGTAAAAGTTGAACTACAGTGATGAAAATGTCGAACTCTTGGGGATGCTGATCGCCAACTGGCGTGTCACTGGGGGGAGCGCACGTGCTGGGGAGAAATGCTTCTAGGGGCACGCGCGAGCAGCAGCTAGAGCCTGTGTAGCTGCGGGCTCCTCCCCCGAAGGAAGGTGTGAATAAGCTGAGGAGAGACTGGAGTGGCCCCTTGGGGGCACGTGCCCCTGTGCCTGTGCCAGGGAGCAGTGCTCTGCCTTCCTGGGCGGGGGAGTGGGCGCCGAGAAGGTCGTGTGTCAAGACTCACTGACGTTGGCAGAGCCCATTCTCAGAAACATCTCGATCTCCTTGTGTGTGTCAGAGCTGTTCCTGGCGTCTGTTCTCAGCGCGTGCCCGAGGAGGAGGGACCAGCGTTCCCTGGAGGGCAGAAGCCGCCTGTCCTCTGCATCTGCACAGGATGGTGGCTGGCTCGGGAGATGGGCTCCCAGCTGGTGAGCCTCATGTCCTGGCTGGCTCAGCCTGGCGCTGTCTTTGTTTGGGCCCCACCTGTGTCTTCCCACAGACACCTGAGCCTTGGGGAACAGGTGCCTGGCTGCCTGGTGTTGCTCTGTTTACGCAGAGTCAGGTGTCTTCTGCTCTTAGCTAGAAACAGGATGGGGGGAGGGGCCACCCAGGAGCCTGGACTGGCCACAGGCTGTCTGGAGACCTGGTACTCAGAGTTCACGCGGATTTCTCAGGGATGAAGAAAGTTCTTGGTCACTTTTGGAAGTCATGAGCCCACGGTCAGTGCCTAGATGTGGGGGTTATAGTTATAGGGCTCTGGAGCGTGGGCCTGTGCTGGAACCTTTGGGAAAGTGATGTGGGGGCAGGCAGCTTGGGGGGTCTGGTCTGATGTGTCTTTCTTCCTGCAGACCCCAGGATGCTGCCGGGCCGGAGCTGACACTGCCCGCGAGCATCGAGTTCCGGGAAAATGGTGAGTGGTGGCCGCCTCAGCCCCCCTGATCACCCACCTCCCTTCCCACCGCTGAGTTTTGTTCCTGTTTGTTTCTCTTTTGAAACTTGTTTCACAGCTGAAGACTCATTTCTCTCCGCCATTATCAACTACACAAACAGCTCAACTGTGCACTTTAAGTTATCGCCGACGTACGTGCTGTATATGGCATGTCGGTATGTACTGTCCAGCCAGTACAGACCTGACGCCAGTGCCTCCGAGCGTCCCCACAGAGTGATTGCCATTGTCAGCAAGATGGTGAGCATGATGGAGAGCGTGATCCAGGTGAGTGTGCCTGATCCCTCTGCACGGCACATGCCCTAGCACCCCCACCCCCTCACTCTTGGGTCTCCTGCCCTGGAAGCTGTGTTGCTTCTGAGGTTGAAAACTGACTCCCGAAAAGACCTTTGCTGTGAATGCTAGCCGTGCACATGTGGATATCACGTCCACAGAAAAGGCCCCTAAAATCGCAGTAGCCTGAGAAAGGACCATATTACTGGGGGTTTTCCTACAATATTGCAAGTAGTTGCTAAGGTGGAGTTTGCATGTCTCGAAGTGAAACATTTCCCGGAATTTTGGGGCATTGTGACACTGCATGATCACAGTGCTCACTGCTTCCAGAACATTCCTGTTCCTCTAGAGAGCCCTTGGCCTGCGAAAAGCTTCTCCCACCTTCTGCCCAAGTGCTTCCCATCCCCTCCATGTGGTGGTGGTGGGCAGCGCTTGCCCTTCCCCCCAGGCCTGCTGCATGCGTGGGAGAGGCCATCAGGTGGCATGGTCCTTCCGTGCTCAGCAGGCACGCTCCTTCTGTGTCTGAGGACCAGGCTGGCTGCCTGCGGGTGGGAGCAGACCACCGCAGCTGTTTCCAGACGTGTGAGGCTCTTGTCTTTAAAGTCCTGGGAAGAAACCGTGCAGGTTTCTCCGTTTTCCCCAGTGGCTTGCCAGTGTTGCTGCTTTCCTTTGGCACTAATGCTGTGACGCCCAGTGCCGTGACATGGTAAACAGTAGCCTTTGATCCGCACAAGATTGCCCAAGGCAGACTTGTATTAGGGTCTCTGCAGAGTTGCCAGAGAAGGTCATGGTCTTTCCAGAGCTTTCCTTTTCTCATGGAGTAGTTTGCTTAGGCGTTTGCTGGAGTCACAGTCCTGTCACCCACGTGAGAGAGCTGCCAGCTGCCCTGGAGACCCTTTGTCAGTGTTTCCCTGTGTGCACGTGGCTCTCCTTTCCCTCCCCACGCTGCCCGACTCTGGGCTCTTGCGATCTCCATGCTCCCTGGAGCGTCCGCATCAGGGAAGGGTCACTGTCCACACAGCCGCTAAGCTTGACCGTGGGCCCCAGGGGTTGGTTGACATCTCCAGCTATCCATGCTAGTGAGTTATTTAAATGCTTTTGTAAAAACCGACTTACAAAAACCGAGAACTAAAGACCGACTACTTTTTAAGTGTTTGAGTACATTTGTAAGCAGTCACCCTTTTCAGTGTTGATTTTTATTGTTTCTGTTGGTTCTGTTGGTCCTGTCTCTTCTGTTGTTCCTGATTGGCCCGGAGACTGGTCTTCCCTGGAGTCCTTTCCAACACTGCCCACGGTGTTGGAGAGGAGAGTGTGGCCTCTTCTTCCCGCATAAGCTCAGGGTTCTCCATGTCATTGGGCCCAGTTACTACGCTGTCATGAGCAACAGGAGTCCTGTCAAGTGTATACTTCCAAATTATGCAGCGCCTGAAGAACGGGGTAGACCTGGGGGAACTTGAGTGTATGTTGTACCTTCATGTTGTACCGTCATGTTTTTTTTTCTTTTTTTTTTTCCTCCAATGGTCATGATTGTTTACAAGTTTCTTTCTCTTGTTCTGCTGGTTTCCCCTCGTCTGTTTTTCTCCAGGAAGTAGACCAGGTTGACCAGGTAGGACCTCCTGCGAGGCTCGCCCCTCGCTGTGTTGGCTTAGCTGAGCCTCTCATGCTGCTTCCATGTCTAAGTACAGTCCTCCCGACTGGACTCAGCAATTGATAACACTCATCTGGCACCTGAGACATGCACTACTAAACCCTTCTCTGACTGTGCAACCTTACCAGCATTTCATAACTCCTGCTTCCTGCACTTCAGTGTGGACATGAAATGACCAACTTCCGTTTCTTCTCTTTATTGTTTTTCCTTGGTTGCTATTCTTGGGATCTCATCTGAGGTTGCCTGGCCTGCACATGTGGTCGGGAAGTGATGCGATAGATCAGTACTCGATAACAAGTTGCTTGGTGTTTGCACCAGTGACTGTGTATCAGGGTGGCTGTGGGTCCCATAGGTGTCTGCGCACCACACAGATTACCAGATACTGCGGAGTTTGCAACTTGGAGTTGTCCTATCGCATCCCGCCATGATTTCTCTGCCCATACTGGTGTCCTGGCCCGAGGGGGGGGGGTCGTGGCTGTGTCCTCTTTCCTCAGACAAAGCTGTGTGGAGCTTTCCGTTCCCCCTGCGGAGGACCACCCAAGTTCCTCTGCAAGTGTCTGGTATCTGTAGGCAATACCTTGGTGAGAGGGGAAGGTACTGGTCTGTCTTCAGCAGCTTCTCAAGAACAGTTCTTGTGGTTTTCCTGGTCCCAGTGTCACCCCCGCACCTCACAGAAGTGCCTTCTGTCTACAGAAGCAGAAGAATATCGCAGGGGCGCTTGCTTTCTGGATGGCGAATGCCTCCGAGCTTCTCAACTTCATCAAGCAGGACCGGGACCTCAGTCGCATCACCGTGGACGCCCAGGACGTGCTTGCGCACCTGGTGCAGATGGCCTTCAAGTAAGGGAGCTGCCAGTGTTCTCACGCGGTTCACAAAGCGAGCGTGAAGGTTTCTCTTTACCCCTGCCATAGACGGAAGCCAGGAGGCATAAATATGTGCCAAGTTTGTTGACATTTAGTACGTTGAATTCAGTGATGATACATATCAAGAACTTTGCGGTTAAGACTTAGCATTTTTGAATGGACCGAAGTTCTGAACAGTACAAATTCTGTCTTTTTTGATACCGTGTTCATGCTGGGTTTCTTAGAGCTGCTGCTTTCTTTCAGGTACCTGGTTCACTGCCTCCAGTCAGAATTGAATAACTATATGCCAGCATTTCTGGATGACCCTGAAGAGAACAGTTTGCAAAGACCAAAAATCGGTTAGGAGCCCTCTCTCCGCCACTCTACTTTCTGCTCTCCTGCCATGCAGCTCGTGTGAGGGGAGGGAAAATGGGTTTACCTTCGGATGAGGACCAGTGCTGTCCTGGGGTGGGTTGTGTATTCGGGACCCTTCAGGCAGCCTGGCTTAGGTGTGTCCCCCCACAGGGTAGGTCCCACTCACAGCCCGCCTCTCTGTCCTGCAGATGATGTCCTGCACACGCTCACGGGGGCCATGTCCCTGCTGCGCCGCTGCCGTGTCAACGCTGCCCTCACCATCCAGCTCTTCTCTCAGCTCTTCCACTTCATCAACATGTGGCTCTTCAACAGGCTGGTCACCGACCCTGAGTCGGGGCTGTGCTCGCACTACTGGGGGGCCATCATCCGCCAGCAGCTGGGCCACGTGGAGGCCTGGGCCGAGAAGCAGGGTCTGGAGCTGGCAGCCGACTGTCACCTCAGCAGGATCGTGCAGGTGGGCGGTGGCGTGGTGTAGACAGTCTTGTCAGCCTGGGCTTGGGCAGGGCCACTCCCAAGTCTGGCCAAGGGGGCGTGGGACTACCCAGATGCCTGTCCCTCTGTGCTGGAGGCCTACCTCGCCCCTGTCATCAGAGCAGCAGGCTCAGGAGAGTGTTTCTGCTCTGTCGGGCCTGGGGCTCTGGTCGTCGCTGCTGCCTGGAGGCACAGGTGTCCAGCCCCTCCTTGTCTCCTCTGGTGCTGCTGCATCCCTTTGTCCATTTCTCTGATACCTGCAACCTCCTTGTTACCTGATGACTTCTGTCAAAACCCAGTCTTCGAATGAGGGCGACTTCTGGGTGTTCTGTGGAGGGTGTCCCCACCAGACGTTGGGAACTCAGTTCACCCCAAAGGAGGAGCACTGGGGAGGTAGATTCCGGAAGGAACCTTTGATGGCCATTACGGGCCTACGTGCAGCTCTCTGGTGAGCTCCTCCAACACGGAGCAAACATTGATGGTAGGGCACAAAGAGGAAGTGAGGGCCCCGTCAGGGCCGGGAGAGGGGCAGTAGGCAGACAGAGCATCCCTGCTTGGTCTAGGCCCGCCGTGGGCTTCAGGAGCAGCCCACCCCGGCTAGCCGTGACACGATGGCTGTGGTGGCCGAGGCAGCTCCCGTGTCCTCACAGTCCTTGCCTCTTAGACCTTGTGGAGAAGAGGCTGTGGGTTACAGAAATGTTCCCATGGGGGACACAGGCCACTGTTGGGTGATTGGGGGTGTAGTTTGTGCTTTCTTCACAAAGGGCTTGATCTCATTATGCATCTGTTTCCTGTGGAGGCCATCTCAGATCCGTCTGGCTGGGATTGGTGTTGGTTCCATTCTTGGGCCGGGGACCCTAGAGCTCTGTGACTCCTGCTCTGGCTCCCCAGAGGCGGCCAGTGTCAGTGTGTGCCTCTTCCCGTCACCAGGCCACCACTCTGCTCACCATGGACAAGTACACATCCGAGGATATCCCTGCCATCAACAGCACCTGCTTTAAGCTGAACTCGCTGCAGCTGCAGGCTCTGTTGCAGAATTACCACTGTGCGCCCGATGAGCCCTTCATCCCCGGGGTGAGTGGACACGGGGATGGGGGAGGGCGTGCAATGCAGGCGGGGCCTGAGCCGCAGCCGGCTCTGAGAGCGGAAGCTGCAGGGCACTGAGTGGACAGGTCCTTGCCAGCAGATGGCGTTCTTGGAGGAGTGCTGAAAGGACTCTGAGAAGGAAGTCAGAATTGCTCCGGGCTCAGGGAGATGGGCTGGGGACTCAGGGCGCGGGAGTGAGCAGGTTCCTGCCAGCAAACAGGGAACTTGGATGAGTCCTGAAAGGACCCAGGAGAGGCGGCCAGGGAGTACCCGGCACTCACACGGACCCAGCGACCTGAGAGTGCTGCCCCCCTCTGGCAGGGTGGCTGGGGCGGGGTTCCCCCACGGACCCAGCCCTGCACAGGGAGATCCAATGGGCAAACCCAGATTCTTGAACTCTTCTGCCTTCCTCTCTCTGGAAAGCCACAGAGGGGGCAAGGGGGCCCACTGGCTCTGCCCTCACTGCTGCTCATCATTCCCAACAAGCACCACACAGCCTGAGGGCCAGCAAGCAGACAGCTGAGGGCGCTGGCTCCCAAGAGCACACGGTAGGGTCAGGCATGGTGTGGTCACACGGAGCGCCCTGCAGCCAGCAGCTCCAAGAAGTCACTTCAGTGACAGCTTCCTCTGGGGAGGAGCCTGCTCCAGGGCCTGGGGAGGAGTCTGCTCTCTCACCTAGGGAGGAGCTGTTCTAGAGCCCGGGGTGGAGCTTGCTGTGCTGTGGTATGTGATTGTAACAACAGTTTAGACCAGCCCGTCCAGAAACCTGTAACTGAGAAAGCAAGTCTGGAAGCTGCCGCTAGAGATGTATTCGGGTTTATGCAAGGGAAAAGGGGTGACGTTGGGGAAGGGCCAAGCACCCTCTTTGGCGATGGGGCTTGTGTTGAGGAGCCTCTGTGCACAGTGTGCCCGTTGCTTGCCTAACCCCCTTCCTTGTAGGGTTGGACTTGTGGTGCATGTGGGCGACTGCCTCTGGCTGCTTGCGTGGCCCCACTTTGACCTCTGATCCGGTTCCCAAGCAGGATCTGATTGAGAACGTGGTGGCCGTGGCAGAGAACACGGCCGATGAGCTGGCCCGCAGCGACGGCCGGGAGGTGCAGCTGGAGGAGGACCCCGACCTGCAGCTGCCCTTCCTGCTGCCTGAGGACGGCTACTCCTGTGATGTCGTCAGGAACCTCCCCAGCGGCCTGCAGGAGTTCCTGGACCCTCTGTGCCAGCGCGGTGAGCAGGGGAGGGGCAGAGTGTTTCCTGGGGCCAGCGTCCTTCCAGGAGGGGGACCGAAACAGACCTCAGGAGGGTCAGAGCCAAGGCCTGTCCTCGGGGTGCCGCGCTGTCCTGGTCTCCCGGACTTGCTGTAGCCAGTGGCTGCGGCTGCTCTCCTCCTGTGGATGCCGCGAGCCTGCCTGCCGCGCGCCGCCTTACTCTGGGGGCCTGCGGGCAGCCCAGCAGTATTGCTGCGGAAGGTCCCTGACGGGGGAGGGTGCTGTGGGGCTTGGGGAGCTGTGGGTTAGGGTGCTGTGGGGTTTGGGCTGCTATAGGACTTGGCCTCACAACCTGCCACGCGTGTCCTTGTTGGGGGTCTCTGTGAAATTCCGGGGTGGAGCACAGCACAGCCTTGGGAGAGAAGGCGAAGCGCAGTTCCACTTGCTACTTTCTTGATAATGGGACTCAGACGAGCCGAAAACAGACCCAGAGTTTGGGACTCTGCTTGACACGCCGTTGCTGGCACTTCCTGAACTCACTGGAAGTTGGGTTCAGGTGGGTGACTGCGCCTCGGCAGTGGGCTCTGCCTTCAGCGCTTTCCCTCTGCCGCAGGGACTAGCTTGTCTTCCTCTGGGGTTTTGGCTGGGAGCAAGGCTCAGGCTCTTTTCACAGTGGCCCCTCCTGCAGCGTCAGGTGTTCTCTCCGGCACGAGAGCTATGTCTGCAGGGGTGGTTCAGTCAGGGAGGGCTGGAACTGGACCCCGGGCAGAAGAATGACAGGAGCTCCCAGCTCAGGGGCCTGGCAGTGGGAGTCCTCTGTCAGTAGCAAGGAGGTGGTGGTCAGTTCTGTCACATGCAGCAGGAGCCCTTCCTAGTTAACCCTGTCCTCACGGGCACCAGTGATGTCTGTGACATCTGTGCTTCTGCCACTGACCCGTGGCCCAAGTCTCAGGATGGCACCAGAGAGCCCGCCTGTGGAACGTGGGCTGGAGTTCCAGTCTCGTGGGCAGCACACACCCTGAAAGCCAGTCTGCTGAGGCGCCCTCTGGTGCCAAAGGTCAGAGAACCTTGGAGAATAATCACAGGTCTGGCTCAGCGGAGAGCGGCTCACTTGGGAGTGATGAGGCTTGTTCAGGACAGATGTCTTCTTCCTGTGTAGAATGCTCAGGCGTATGTCTGTCTTGCCATGCCTGGCACTGCTGCATCCACAGCATTACTAACTGTGGATGGTGGGAAGATTGAGCAGACGCTTCAGAGGGGCTGATCCCACTCAGAGTACTGGCAGAGTCCCTGGAGGGACACAGGCTGACAGCTGTCCTTCCTTTGTGTCACTGGTTACTTTTCCTTGTCGAGTCTTTGCCTCCTTGATCTATCTGGCAGTGAATGAGGACTTTGAAAGTCTCTTACTATTACTGAGTTGCTGTCAGTAGCTTCCTTCATGCCCATTTGCATTGTTTTGAATTCTCTGTGATCCATCGTTATGTGCATCGTTATGTTTAAGAGTATAAGTTTTTTTTTTTTAACTTTTTTATTGAGTCACTGTGAGATAGACCACTACAAAGCTATTCATGATCGGATTTCAGTGAGTGTGAGTCTTCTACATGCATCAGTTCCTTAGTCATTAAGAAATGACCATCTCCTCTGTTGGGGGCCAGGGTGAAAGTATAAAGGGTAAGGCACTTGCTTTGCATGTGGCCGACCAACGTTTGATCCTGTCCTCCCCATATGGTCCCCAGAGCACCACCAAGAGCGAGCTCTGAGTGAAGAGCCAGGGGAAAGCCTTGAACACTGCCGTGAGGCCCCAAAACCAAGAAAGGAAGGTTTTAAAATTTGAAGTCTGTGTTGTCTGATAGAAGTATGGCCTCCCCGGCCTTTTTCAGGGCATTGCTTGCCTGTAAGCTTGTTTTCCAGCCTTTGATTTTGAGTATTTACCATGATGGTTCAGACATCTCTTATAGGCAGCAGAAAATTAACTTTAGTTTTCTGATCCATTATTCCATTATGTCTCTTAATTGGTCAGGCCATTGACATTGAGTGAGATTAAAATAAAGGTTTTTTTTTTTCTTTTTATTAGTGAAAAGGTAAAGGTAAAGGCCCTCCCGTTGATCATCGATTTGCTTGAGCGGGCCCAGTAACATCTCCATCATGAGACTTGTTGTTACTGTGTTTGGCATATCGAATACGTCACGGGGAGCTTGCCAGGCTCTGCCGTGCGGGCGAGATACTCTCGGTAGCTTGCCGGGCTCTCCGAGAGGGGCGGAGGAATCGAACTCGGGTCGGCCATGTTGGCTGCGTGCAAGGCAAATGCACTACCGCTGTGCTATATCGCTCCAGCCGGCTTTTGTTATTATATAGTATGTTATATATAATAGCTTACTATATTTTGATATATATTTTTTATCATATATAACATATATAACATTATATATAAATTGAATCACCATGAGAGATACAGTTACAAAGCTTTCATGATTAGATTTTAGTCATACAATATTAGAACATTTTATATATTTTAATGAGAAAAAAACTTAGATGACACTAAAGTTCTAATGGCTGAAGCGATAGCACAGTGGTAGGGCGTTTGCCTTGCACGCAGCCAACATGGCCGACCCGAGTTCGATTCCTCAGCCCCTCTCGGAGAGCCCGGCAAGCTACCGAGAGTATCTCGCCCGCACGGCAGAGCCTGGCAAGCTCCCCGTGACGTATTCGATATGCCAGACACAGTAACAACAAAGTCTCCAATGGAGACGTTACTGGGCCCGCTCGAGCAAATCGATGATCAACGGGACGGCCTTTACTTTACTTCACTTTATTAGTGAAACACCATGAGGTACAGTTGTTGATTTACAAATTTTTGTGCTTGGGTTTCGATTATACAATGATCAAATACCCATCCCTCCACCAGTGCCCATTTTCCACCACCATGGATAATATCCCTCCCACCCCCATCCCCCCCATCCCACCCTGCCTCTGTGGCAGGGCATTCCCTTGTGTTCTCTCTCTCCTTTTGGGTGTTGTGGTCTGCAAAAGAGGCATTGAGTGACAAACATGTTCAGTCCATAGTCTACTTTTGACATGCATCTCCCCTCCTGGGAGGATCCTCCAAACACCCTTTATTTGGTGCTCCCTTCTCTATCTGAGCTGCCCTTTCCCCTAGAATGCCCGCCTGGCCTCTTAAGCTATGGAGTGATTACTCCTGGTGCTGATCTCAGCTATTCTTGGGTATTAATCTCATACTTTGTTACTTTATATCCCCCAGATGAATGCAGTCTTTCTATGTCTATCCCTCTCTTTCTGACTCATTTCGCTTAGCATGATACTTTCCATATTGTACCACTTGTATGTAAATTTCATGACTTCATCTTTTCTAACAGCTACATAGTACGCCATTGTGTAGATGTACCAAAGTTTCTTTAACCAGTCATCTGTTCTTGGGCACTCAGGTTTCTTCCAGTTTCTGGCTATTGTAAAGAGTGCTGCAATGGACAAACAAGTGCAGATGTCACTTCGACTATACATTTTTGCCTCTCTGGGATATATTCCCAGGAGTGGCATTGCTGGGTCAAATGGGAGCTCAGTTTCTAATTTTTTGAGAAATGTCCATACTGTTTTCCAGAAGGGCTGAACCAGTGGACATTCCCACCAACAGTGAAGGAGTGTCCCTTTCTCGCCACATCCGCGCCAGCATCAGTTGCTTTCGTTCTTTTGAATGTGGGCCAGTCTCTGAGGTGTGAGATGGTATCTCATTGTGGTTTTGATCTACATCTCCCTGATGATTAATGATGTAAAGCATTTTCTCATGTGCTTTTTTGCCATTCGGGGGTTTATTGTCATCATTTTATAGAAATTAATGTATGTTAGTCTTATCTTTTCTCTTAAAGAAGTTTTCTTTATGCATTTTGCAAAACTGACTTCAAGGCTATGATCTTTTTAAGGCACTGCTTGTCAGTAAGCTTTGTACCATTCCTTCCAACTGGAATGATAATCTCGTGGAGAGGATATTCTTGGTGACGGTCATTTCATTGCATGTTCTTACTATGCCCTGCCATTCTCTTCTGGCCCATTGAGTTTCATTTGATAGACCTGCTGTGAATCTTACGGGAGTTCCTTGTATGTCAGTCCCTCCTTTGATCTCACTGCTTTCTGTATTTGATCTCCGTCTTTGGCTTTCATCATTTTGATTATGACTTGTCTCAGAGTTTTTCTATTTGGGTTTGTTTTTGCTGGAACCCTTTGGGCTTCTTGGATCTCAGGGCAGGTCACTCTGGGAAAGTCATATTTTTGTAGACATTTTGTTTTGGTGCCATTCCCAGCAGTGCTCAGGGCTTTTTCCTGACTCTGTACTGATGGGTCACTCCTGGATAGGGTGCTGGGGTCAAACCCAGGTCAGCCCTGTGCAAAGCAGGCACCCCACCCGCCCCACTATCTCCCTAGCCCCCAGCTCCAAGAGATTCTCATCTGTGATTTATTTCACAAGTGCATTTTCATCAGATTCACTTTTCTCTTCCCCAGGAACTTTGGTGCTCATAATGTTACTCTTGACTTCATCCCATAGCTTAATGGTTTGCTGTTTATTCCTTTGTATATGTGTTCACATCTTTTGTTTTCTAGAGGTTTCTGTCATCTCATCTTGGATTTTTTCCCCTCAGCTGTTATTACTCTGCTGCTGAGGCCTTCCATTGAGTTTATTTTGCCATTCATACTCTAGTTCTTTCACTTTTGACTGTTGTTTTCTCAGTTCTGCTCTCATACTATCTTTTACTTTATGATGGCCTGTATCTTCGTTTCTCTGTACTCACTAAACATCCTCTTTCTGGTGTCCTAAAGGCATGTCTGAGAGGTCAGCGAGTTGGTTTGTACTGGTCGAGTGAAGGTATTCTGTGCTGAACCTTCACTCTGAGCTTGGGGGGTCTCCGATGCAGCGTCCCATTGTGTCTGCTCTGCCGGGGTGAATCTGTGTTGTTCACCCCTGTGTGAGTTCTCTGAGGGGCTGGGCTGTGTGCTGCTCTTTGCCTTCCCTGCTGGTCCTCACCCAGTGACTCTTTTCCCATTTTTGGTTTGCGATTTGGAGGCTTGGTGTGTGTCATGGGGCTACTCCCTTCCTCTCCTCAGGCTATGATTTAAGGTTCTCCGGTTTGGTTGGTTTTGTTTCTGGACCACACCCCGTGGTGCTCAGGGCCTACTTCTGGCTCTGCACTCAGGAATCACTGCTGGAGGACTTTGGGGTCCATACGGGGTGCCGGGGAGCAAACCCTGGTGGGCCGTGTACTAGACAAGCACCCTTCCACTGTACTCTCCCTCCAGCCACAGGGCGGTATGGTTCCTTAGCTCCATTACTGCCTTTTTTTCTTTTTCCTCCTTTTTGGGTGACACCCGGTGATGCACAAGGGTTACCCCTGGCTCTGCACTCAGGAATTACCCCTGGCGGTACTCAGGGGACCATATGGGATGCTGGGATTTGAACCCGGGTCGGCCGCGTGCAAGGCAAATGCCCTACCCGCTGTGATATTGCTCCAGCCCTCACCACTGCCTTTTGAGAGCTTTCTATGGGATAGGTGAACGGAGCTCAAGTAAGATAGTAATAGCATGAAGTCCTTGGTGGTGACCAGAGTTCCGAGAGTGTGGGTTCCTCACAGGAAGACAGAGTGTGGGCAGTGTGAGGTGTGATGAGTGCAGCTTACATGGCCACACAGTGCAAGGTACAGGGAGCAGCAGGCAGCATCAGAGGTGCAGGTTATGGATGTGGGCCACCACCTCAGTGTGGAGGTGGCCAGGACCCAGGTGAAGGGGAAGGGAAGAGAATCCACGGCCAAAAAGACCCCAGGAGTATCAGCCAGGAGGTTGGTGTCCCCTTGAGAACGGTGTGTCTGTGGCCTGCAGAGATTGAGCCTTGCTTCTGATGGCCAGTTGCTTGTTTTCTCTTCAGGGTTTTGCAGGTTGATTCCTCACACACGATCGCCGGGCACGTGGACAATATACTTCGAAGGCGCAGATTACGAGAGCCACCTCACACGGGAGAGTGCAGAACTGGCAAGTGCCGGGGCTGGGGAGGGCGTCTGCTCGGGGTGGAACCAGCCCTTTGCTGAGGCACGAGAGCTGTGCATTCCCAGCTCAGAGCCGCCTTTCCATAGACAGGCCGCGAAGATGGTAACATGGGGGACCAGAGAAGAGCCCAGGGAGTAAGGCTCTGGTCTTGCACACACCTAGCTCTAGTTTTAAGTCTTGCATCGTGTGGTCCCTCGAGCACTGCCAAGCAGTCGTAGCCCTGAGACAACACTGAGTTAGCTCAGCTTTCCTCTCTCCATGAAAAAGGTACCTTTAAAAATCGTGAGTGTAAGTGCATGTTCTAAATACACAGGAAAACGGCAGCCTGTTTCGCTGCAAAATTTCACCACAACAGTTTTTTTTTCCTTATTGTTACCTTTGGGCCACAGCCATGTGATGCTTGGGGCCTTGTCTCAGCTCTGTGCCCAAAGGACCATATGGTGCCGGAGATTGAACCCAGGCATCTCAGCGGAGCTTGTGTTCAGCCGCGTGAGCTCTCTCGCACGCAGTTTTGTCTTTGGCAGAAACGCATCTGTTTTGTGCTTGGTTTCCTTCTGAGTACTGAGAGCTGAGTTTTTCCACTGATGAAGCTTTGTAATTCAGGGCTTCTTCAGCGTCTCTCATTCACAGTGACTGCTTTTCGCTGGGTGATGTGCCTGAGCAGTCCTGCGAAAATGCCTAGGATCCTGACATGGCACTTTTAAAATCATTTTTAGTCATTGTGCAATCAGAAGCCTTTCACAATCGCCAAACTTTTTGCGACCCCCACCCTTAGTATATTGAGCCCATGTGGGGTTGCAGCCCTGTGCATGGAACAAAGCTGGTAAACAGTGGGTGCTCTTGTTTGTGGCGCAGCCCGGGTATGAAGCAGGGCTGAGTGAGCAGTTGAATGCTTTCGTTCATAGCTTAGAGCAGAGTGCGAGCCTGGTGCATGCAGGTACGTGCGGTGTGTGCTGGCTGCCCTGTTGGCTCAGCCGAGCAGGTTCGAACAGGTGTACGATGACCAGGAGGAGCTGTGGCCTTCCATCTGGGGAGTAAACCTTTGTTCTTCCCTTTAGGCCCAGCCTCTGAGGAAAGAGCCGGAAATCATCACCGTGACCCTGAAGAAGCAGAATGGAATGGGACTGAGCATCGTGGCGGCCAAGGTAGGCCTCAGCATGCATGTGCACGTGGCCCAGGTGTCCAGGCCTGCGTGCTGAGTGCAGGTGCGCAGGGGTGAGAGCGAGAGCCATAGCAGACCCTGACGGCCTCCAGGGGCCGGGCCTCAGGGCGCCTGCATGTGCAGGTCTCCCGCTTTGGTCGGTCAGATTTCCGCTCTGTGCCTGGGAACTCCTCCTGGCCGCATTGAGCGTTTGATCCCGAGTGTGTGACCAGCACCCACCTCTGCGTCACCCGAGCGCCCCCTCCTGTTCCGGACTCTGCTCCCTGCAGAGGGTTAGCAGTTCCTTGTGAGAGAACGGCAGATGCAGAAGCACGACATCAGACCTGCCGCGTGCTTGGCTGTAGTGCGTGCTCCTTGGCACTTCTTGCTTGTCCCCCAGACCCCGGGTGGGCATGACCAGTGGCCTGGAGAGTGCTGTGTCCTTGCCTCTGCGGGCTGTGGAGGGTGCTGGCGTCCCTCTGGCCTGCTTGTGCACAGCAGGCGTCCTGCAGACTGGAGGGCAGCCCCGCACCATGTGGGCCGAGGCTGCACCTCGTGCTCGCCCAGGGCTGTGTCCATGAGAACAGTGGACCTGGTCAGAGGAAGCGGGCATGTCGCGCGCGGGCAGCACAGCATCTGCTGACAGGATCCGGAGGGCAGGGCGCAGAGCGGCTGGTGGGTCCTTTGGAGAGCCTGGGGCAGCAGTGGGGTTCTGAGGGAGCCCGCCAGGGAAGCCAGAGCCCCTGGCTGGCAGAGGCTGGCAGGGGTGTCTCTGCACGGAAGCCATAGCCGTGCGCTGCTGTGGGCGTGCGCATGCGCCCGTCTTGCCTCCCTGAGCTGTCCAGGCCCTGCCGGCACAGCCCCCTCAGGCCAGGGCTGCTGTGTGCTTGCTGTGGCCCTCTGGACACAGCCTCCACCCCAGCTTCTCTGGCATCAGAGCTGAGAACTGAGCGGCTGTGGGAGGTGGAAGTCAGGGGCCCGATGCCACCCCACAGGGAAGGTGGGTGGAGGGAGAAGCCAGGTCCAGAGGGGAGCGTTTCCCTGTGATCTGGTTTCCCGCCTGGGAGAGAAGCCTCTGTGGCAGGACGGGGCAGTGGAACGCACTGCCCTTGGTGGGGGCTGCGGGCTCCACATCCCGGTGCCGTGCCGTTGGGTGCTGGAAGTGGGTTCAGTGGTACCACCCCCCTTCCTGACCCGACAGTGGATCTTGTCAAGGCTCCACCTCTTCTGGATTCTGGTCTTTGCAGACATTTCCCGAGGAGCAGCGTGGGTTCCTCTGGGGCAGGGTACAGCGACAGAAAAGAATTCGCTGGGGGTCCTGTCTGTAGAGGGGGTTGTGTCCTCTGCCCGAGGGGCTGTGCACCCAAGGCTGGACCCCAGAGCGCCCATACCCTTCGGGGAGCCACTTGTGGAGCTGGGCTCAGGCAGGCAAGCTGGCACCGCGGGCAGAGGTCGCCTGACCTGGTTCTTCCCTCGCGAGAGCCCCACAGAGGCTGGGCCCAGTGAAGGCCAGTGAAGGAGCCTGGCCATACTCTGGCTTCCGGTGGTCAGGGCACATGTGACTCCACTCTGGAGCCCGGGGCAGGGCCTTGGCAGGCCGGCCAGCCGGCCAGCCCAGGAGTTGGCAGGCTGGCACAGGGCAAAGGGCTTTCTGTGGTGGGTCGTCTGTCTCCCACCTTGAGGGTGCCATCTCAGCCCCTTGCCACCGATGCGTCTCATCTGCCAGGCTCTGTTCCTGGGGTTTTTGGGGGCCACCTGTGGCATTCCCCAGGGACTGCCAGGTGCCAGGTGGACACGGTATCAGTCTCAGGCAGAGAACAGAGAAGTGGTGGGTAACTTCCATGAGCTAGTGCTGAGGTTGGCACCGAGAGGTGCCTGGGAGCCCCTTCCACCAGACCTTGGGCAGACCCGGCCACCCTGGGACTGAGTTGTCTCCATTCGGCCCGCGGGCTGTGAGTGAAGCATTCCGAAGCCCTGTCCTGGGCCGTGTTCCCAGAGGGGCGGCTCTGGGGTCTGGCCTTGGGTCCGGGGGTGCCTTCTGCTGGTTAGAGAAGGGAGAGTGATTCTTTCCGGAATGGGCGTGGGGCAGGGAGGTGTGGCCCGCTGCCCGGGAGGAAGGAGCTGTAGGCCCCTTCTCAGAGCGGCCCTGCACCTGTCAGAAACGCGGGAGCGGGGTCTCCGGCCTTGCTGCTCCCCGCACCTGTGGCTCCGAGGGGCAGCCTGGCTGCAGGCCGTGGAGTACGGAGCCCGGTGAGGTGCTGAGAGCAGCTGGGCCGGCCACTCGGGCAGGTCCTGCTCCGCCTCTGGCCGTTGCAGCCTGCACCTGCGGCTCGAACCTGTTCCTGCGCCCTGGAGCTCTGTCCTCTGCCCTCCTCCCAAGGGTCGCCATGTGGAAGCCCCGTCTGGCGGCGCGCGTGGTCTGGGCTGGCCTGCCCCTTCCTGTGTCGGTGTGGCCTTCTGCTCCGAGCCTGGCCCTCGTTTCCTGCTGCCCCTGTTCTATGAAATCCAGATGCTTGGAACAGTCTCTGGGTGTGGTTCACTTTTTAAAACATTGCCGTGGGGGACATTTCGTCTGCTACTTCTTGCTCGTCTGCGGGACGGCCTGGTGCTTCCTGTTTACTCTGGATTCCAAAACTACAAACAGTTGCCTTCTTTTTGTTTTTCCAGCTCTTTTTAAACTTTAATAAAGTGCAAGTGAGGAAAGCCAGAGCTGCTGGGTTTCGCAAGCGCAGAGCATTGCCTTGGTCTGTTTGCGCTGATAAGTGCCGCCCCATGCCCCGCGCCGCGCAGACTGCTGGAAATACCGGCTTGGAGGACCAGCTGTGTCGTGGTGTGGAAACGCGGAGGGCGGCGCGGCTGCTGGTTTCGGTTCGAGAAGTTGTGTGGCAGAGATCACAATGTGGTTCTCTGTGGTCGGGAGGCTGGAGCAGGCGGTGAGTGCTGGGGCGCTGGCCCGGGGCGTTGCACGGCTCTGGGAGCCCGAGAATGCCTTTCCTCCCGCGGCCACTTGCTCCAACCTGTCGATCATTAACGCTCATGAGGCAACTCCCCGCGGAGCCAGGAGCCAGCCGCGCAGCCCTCCCAGAGCCGAGACAGGCCGCCTCTGTCTGCTCTCCTACCGGAGACACCGGCTGCGGTGGAGGAGGGGGCTGCCCTGGCTGCGGCGTCCTGTCGGGTTTTCTAGAAGTAAAGGTAGAAAGGACACTTGATAAAGCACGTGGGATCATCATCTTGCTTCAAAATGACCAGCTGAGCAGTGTGGAACAGACTCTAGTCTGGGCCTTTCAGCTCGCTGTCCTGTTTAAGTCCTTAAATTTTCCTTGGCTTGGAGCAAGGATTCTGTTCCTGAAAGCAGTGAGGTGGAGTTGGGAGCACTCCGCGCCTGTGGTGTGCTCGCCCTGGCCCTGGCCAGCCCACACAGGTGTAGTTGTCAGAGGGCTCCGAGGTTGGCAGTTCCTCTGCATGAACAGAGCCACCTTCTGCCACGCTGGAGGAAATGGCCTTGGCCCTGCATGCTTGTTTGTTAGGAGTGGAAAGATTTTAGCAGAAAACCGTAAGAACTGTTCTTGTTGGAAAAAGGCGAGTGTGACTTGTGTGGAAGTGGGCGTGAATTTTGCTGTGGCCTGTTGTGTGTCCTGTCGGGTCAGACTGCAGGGTCAGTTCCAGACTCTGTAGAAACTGGTCACCCTTGCAGTCTGCAGGGACCTGATGGGGCAGTTGACAGGCTGGGGATCATACCTCCCTGGCCCTCTGTGGTGTGTCCGAGAGCTCGCTCAGATACCTCAGAGTCTTCTTTAGTACTGCGTGCCCCCTGTGGGGAGGGGAGAAAATATGGGGGGGGGGGGGCGCAGGGTTGCTTTTGTTCTGGGGTCCCGGAAGCGGACAAGCTCGACCTGTCATGTGGGAGCCCAGCGCAGAGTCTGCCCAGGGCTTTACCTGCGTTTGCAGAGTGAGGGGGATGTTTGTGGAGCCTCTGGGGAGAGCACACTGCCTCCAGCTTGACTTTCTCTGTCTCCCCTGGGAAGGTGTGGGGAAGGTGTGGGGCAGGGTCGGGGGTGATGAGCAGTGGGACTGAGCTGATGGCTGGGCCAGTACCTGCACTGCACAGGGTCCCACCTCCCCCTCAGGCAGCTAGCAGACTGCACCTGAGCCCCTTGATCAGTGCATGGTGAGAACCACGAACAGCCTCCCCCGTGCCCGCAGTCTTGAGAGCTGTGGTTCCCACGGGGTCTCAAGAGCTGTGGCCTCAGGCAGGGTTGAGGGCCACCCGCTGCAGGAAGGACAGCCAGTGCCAACTCGTCCTGCTCAGGAGGAGACAGGACATGTGGAGTAAAATGTCCTTAAGCAAACAGGAAAGAGAAAAGGCCTGTGCGTGGAGGGAGCAACCGGTAGGATGCAGTGCTCTGGACTTTGAACTTCAGCTCTTCCTTGTCCTCTCCGTGGGCTTTGAACCTGCTCAAGTTTCTCTCCCGTGCACTCCTCCCTTGTTCTATGGGGCTGGGCCACTCAGGGCTCCACTTGGCCTCGGTCCCGAATCTCCCAGGGGGAAGGGGGGGCGGGGGCGGGGGTGGTCCAGCCTGTGCACTTTGGGGCTCCTTTGGCTGGCGGCAGGGAACTTCCTTTCTTCAGGCCGTGCTTTAGTTTTCTGATCGCCTGAACCCTTGGCCAGGAGCCCCTTGGGGCTGGCCTGTCTCTGTGTAATTGCCAACGGAGGGAGCAAGCTCCCGGGATGCTGTGGGTGCTCCAGAGTGGGCTGAGGCGGGGGTCAGCCGTGCGTGTCCGGCCGGAAGAAGCCATCTCCAGCACTGCCTGATGAGTTTTCAGTGCTCCTGGGCCCAGAGCTCCCCCCGTCCCGCGATTGTTTTCGGACCTGTAGCTCCCACCGCTGCCTCCTTGCCCGGCTGGGAACAATGGGCTGAGCTGAGGCCGCGGGGGCGCCGGGCTGGCTTCCTCCTGCCTTTTGTTTGGACTGTGTGGTAATGCTGTTTTCATGCTATTAATCAT